AGCCGCGGCGCCGGCTTTTTACTTAACATTTTTTCTGTATGTCCTTTCTTTCATGCCAAAATTCTCTGTTCTCCAAACACCAGAGAATTCCACTATTTCAATTTAAAAAAAAAAACAACAAAGGGACTTGTGGCCCTTGGTATTTTAAGAGAAGTAAAAATTTCAGGTGAAACAAGAATGGTTTTGATTCATGCTAACCATTGCTGTTGATTAAAGAGAAGCAGGATGAGTTAGCTTCTCATACATAGGAACTAAAATGTGCTTTGTACTTAGATGAAAGATTTGATAGAAATGGAAGCTGTTTTTCAGGAAAGAAAATAGTTGAGTACAAACGTGTAAAGACATTCAAAAGCACTGCTCCCAGTTACGTTAGAGATCCATATGTGTCTAAAAAGAAACAGGTGAGATCTCTAGTTTGCAGCCATTGCTGACAGAGACTCTGTGACAAAAGTTTTGCTTCTAGATACCGCTTGCAGAAGATGTTAGCTTCACTCCTATGGGATGAATCCAGGGCACGTTTGCCCCAGATGTTCCAAGTCAGTGGAAACCTGCCAGTGGTAAGAAAAATTGGATTCCACTAGAGCAAGTCAGATTTGTTTTCTATTTTTAAATTTTTTTTTTTTATTTGAAGGCAAGGACAGAGAGAGATTCAGGCAGGGACAGATAGTAATAGAGATGGAGCTAGAGCTAGAGACGGAGACAGAGACAGGGATTTAGTTAGAGATAGGGATAAAGAGATAGAGATAGAAAACTCTCACCTGTTAGTTCACTCCCCATACACCCACAACATCCAGTTCTGAAGCTGGGAACTCAGTCTAAGTCTCCCAAATGACTGGTAGGTTCCCAACTACTTTGGTTATCACTGCCCCCTGAAGGACCTGCATTAGTAGGCAACTGGAGTCAGGAGGTAGAGACACGTATTGAACCCAGGCACTCAGATGGGAGACATTGGCATCTTAACCACTAAAGCAAACACTCATCCAGATTTGTTTTCTTGGAAACATCCTACATATACTGAGGAGTAGAAACCTTTACAGTCAGCAGACGCAACTAGACAGACCAGTCCATTTGAAGGCTCATTAGAGTTCTGAAATGAACCAGCACGTAAATGGGGACAAACACAATCTTATTTCTGAGACTCCCTTGGACACTTCTATATCTTTTCATAGTCATGTAAATAACTGTCATACAAGATAAAAACAAGATAGTAGATCTTTAAGGAAACTCTGTAGCCACGTGAGAGCAAGAGATGTGACCAAGGGAATGAGAGTGCTCCATGGAAAAGAAGAAGCCTCATTTGAGGGGAGTTCATTCATTCATTCAGCGGGTTTTTTTAATTGAGTGGCCACCATTCTGGACCTTGCTGTCATCTCACAATCGAATTATAGATCTGATTCCAAATCCTGAACCAAGTCCTTACTAACTGTGTGGCCTTTGGCAAGTTACCAAACCTCCACGCCTCAATCAAACCATCTGCAAAATACAGATACTAATACCCGCCCTTGAAGAGCCTTTGCTGTTAAATAAGGGAAAGACTGTCTACAATGCCTGGCACAGTTCCAGGGAAAGCTCACCTTCCCTGCCTGTGGAAAAGGAGAGGAGGAGGAGGAAAATGGGGGTAGAGAGAGTGGATATCTTGAGAGATGCAGATCTGAGAGGGCTATTGCAGGGAATGGGGGAATAACCAGAGACTGACGTAAAATCATTGTATAGAAACACTGAGGGCCCAGTACAGTAGCCTTCTACCTTGATGCTGCAGGTAGGTTGGAATGGTTGGTTTGTGTTTAGGTATTTGGCCAGAGAAGTAGAAGGTGGAGGCTTGCCCAGCTGAGCCCATTTAAAATGATTAGATAGCATTGTCAGATGGAAGAGACTAGAATAGTGAATTAAGAGTTTCTCAATTGACAGAAAGTTTTCCCAACCATGTTTGCGGGAAAGAGTGAAGGGGAATGAGTTGTAAGACAGCAAGGTGAATCCAATGAACTGTGAGACTCACCACTGAGACATAGGCTGATGGGTTTTCTTCTCCAATGGGCAGTGAGTTGTCAAATGCCAGAGCAATTTCCCTGGGAGGAAAACACATGGCCTTGTGTTTGGCTTTGCAAGCATCCCCATGATATAGGCTTATAAATTCAGTTTATATCTCCCTTAGCCCAGTCTCCCTTTATTACACCACTTTACTGCTTCTTTGGGGCTGAGATTCTAAAATTTGGGTCAAATGTTTCATTAAGTTAACCACGCTAGAATACCAATAACACTCCTGCAGCACTTTTCATCTTCATAGTGGTTCACAAACATCTTCTTCTTCAATAATGAAGATGAGTTGAATATCTATAGCATCGAAAACCAAAGCTATTTAATCACTGTCTGCTGTGAGGAAGTGAAATAAACTGCAAGACCAACAAAAAAAAGTATATTACATTTTAAACTTGCTGATTCGAGCTTTAAAAAAATTTTTTGAACATGCAGGCAGGCAGAACCCATGCCACAAACCCCTCATTTTTGTAATGACAACGGCTATAATAAGAATAATAGCAACTTCTTCAGGGTGTTTTTAGCTCCTCACACTTTATAGAGTGCTTTTCTATACATTGTTTCATTTAATCTTCATGAAAACTCATGTGAAAGAGAGGAATAGGGATGATTAGCCCCATATTTTAGACAAAGCTTATTGTGATTCAACAACGTGCTTAAGGTTCAAGCCACTAGATATTTGCACTTGGCCGAGAACCCCAAATGTCCTTTTCCAGGAGGGTTCCCACCTGGGCTGTGCACTAACAGGAGGTCCAAAAGGACAGGGGATTAGGGCATCCAGGGGAGTGCATGTTTTCCTTCCTCCTTCAAACAGAACAGCTCCATGATTCTAGGACATGTTGGACTTCCATGTGGATTTCCACAGTTCAATTCCATTGCCCAGAGATGACATCATCTCTACTGCTCATGACTCAGCTACGTTGTGAGTTGCAGTCCCAGATTCTGTTCCTCAGTGCTGCAAAGCTCTGTTCCCAGCCAGGGTGACTGCGTACTAAAACCTTTCCCTGCCCCTTGCTTGCCTTCCAACCCTCCACCTGTAGCACTAATTACCTGTTCCGGGCCAATGGAGCCATCTGATGGCCTTTGAACCAACTGCCTCTGGACTTCCTTTCCCTCTATATGAGCCGTATAGATGGGCTTCCTCCTTCATGACTGGCTACTTTACCTTGTGGGGCCTGCTGATGCTTCGAGACTGAGTGGCCTGCAGGAAGGAATGCCCTGTCACCATGATGCCCACTGCCGTAGGCCAGGGGTGCACCTCGGTATTCATTCTTTTTTTTAAAAAGATTTATTTATTTATTTGAAAGTCAGAGTTACACAGAGAGAGGAGAGGCAGAGAGAAAGAGAGAGAGAGAGAGAGGTCTTCCATCCAATGGTTCACTCTCCAGATGGCCGCAACGGCCGGAGCTGCACAGATCCGAAGCCAGGAGCCAGGAGCTTCTTCCAGGTCTCCCACATGGGTGCAGGGGCCCAAGGACTTGGACCATCTTCTACTGCTATCCCGGGCCATAGCAGAGAGCTGGACAGGAAGTGGAGCAGCCAGGTCTCGAACTGGCGCCCATATGGGATGCTGGCGCTTCAGGCACTTTGCCACAGCGCCGGCCCCACAGGTATTCATTCTTTAGCTCTGTATTCTTCCTGCTCTTTCATCACATTCTTTTCCATTCCTCTAGGAGTTCTTTGCACATCTTCCTCACCTCTCCTCATTTTCATTCCTCATTGTCCTTCTCTTTGGTTTTTCTGGGAGCAATAAAACAATCAAACATTGGTTGACAAAGATAATGCTAGTGAATTGGTGCCTAAAATAATTGGATCCATTACTTCTGAAAGAAAATTATGCCAGACAAGTATCTAGCACCAGAACTTTGAACACATCGTTACCATAGCATTTCACACATTATGTTTATTGCAATTGATTGTTCATGTGTTTGTGTGTTACACTAAGAGTTGCTTTTTGTTTTTTTTTTGTTTGTTTGTTTCATTTGTCTTCTCCCTACACCAACTAGCTGGACACACTGCAGGCCCACTTTGTTGTTGTTGCCAAATACTGATTTAGTTAATTGAATAATCATCCTGGATTCCAGAAAAAAAGTGCAATATTTTTCCATTTTTATTCTGTTGTTGGGGGATTATTTCTTACTGTCCTTCACTGAAATTTGGAGTGTATTTTTATGCTATCCTGTGAGCTGTATAGATTTTGCTGACAAACTTAAGAATCTTAATTTATTGTTTCTGTGAAAAAATGTACTTAATGTTCCAAAACGTTCAAACATACACAAAAGAATGGAGTTTTTTCCATATGTAAACAATCTATAACCTTTTCCAATATTTCACACAAATTATGAAAACAGTGGGAGAAAAAAATCTCTGTACTTTTGCTTGTCATTTAAGTCTTTCTCTCTCTTCCCCTTCCCCCCACCCCTTTTCCCTGGTGTCCACCCTGGTTTTTGTCTCTCAAGCTTTGCCTCATTTGGAGCATGTAGCTCATTCCTTCTGTTTTCCCATGGCTTACAGTTGAGTTTTCCAGTGCGTACCTTGCAGTCTACCTGGAATCCATGTTTTATAAAAGTATTTTCCCCATTGAATGTAGTTGTCAGCGGCTGAGCACTATGCATTTTTCATTGATGATTTTTCACAGTGGGATTTCAGAGCCAGGCATTGAGCCATGGGAAATACTTGGGTTTGGTGTGGGAATAGCTCCTGAATTTCCATCATTTGCCATTTGAGCTCCAAATAGACAATGTCCCAATTCCAGAATTCACAGTCTTTCTTCTTGCACATTTCTCTCTTCTATTCTTTTTCCAGAGATAAAGAGAAATGAGACAATCATGTCGATAAAGCAGCCCTCTTCATCCTCATTCTTCTTGCCAGGGTGCCTCATTAGGAAATGTCGACGATGGAGCTGTCTTCTGAGCACAGAGTGTTCTCGTTGGCCAGCATTTGAAGTGCTTGTGTTATGCTTTCAGGCTCTAGTGGCGGCTGTGTGGCCATTCGAGGAAGGAATCCAATTGGACGCTGGGAAGTGAAAGACTGTGTACACTTTAAGGCCATGTCCTTGTGCAAGCAGCCAGTGGAAACTCGGGAGAAGATGGAACATGAAGAGAGATGGCCCTTTCACCCCTGCTATTTGGACTGGGAGTCGCAGCCTGGTCTGGCCAGTTGTTTCAAGGTAATAGAAGAGTTGTATGGGCATTCACAACAGTACTAACATTATTTACTAATTTATTACCCACATTGAATCCATGTGTCCCAAATTCCTTTATTCTAGCACCTTTTTTCCAGAAGAGTACTGGCACAACAGCGCAGGCTGAATCAATGTCTCAGTCATTTCACTTATATCCCAAATAATGGAGGCTTGGCTCAAACTCAACTGCTAGAGTATGAGTGCAGTAAGAGTTGTCACACACGTCAGGCAGAGCAACTTCATTCTGTCATGCAGACAGGCTGCAGGAAGAAACAGAAGCCCAGGTCCATGGCGAGTTGGTCCCCAAAGGCTCAGGAAAGTTGCCTGGAGCAGATGGAGCCTTGACACCACAGGCCCCACTTGCACCACAGCCCACAACTCAGGGATGCTGAAAGCTCTGTGATGTGACTTCTATAAGCACAGCACCCATTGGGTTACTGAGTTCAAGTGCTGTGGGACATCCTGTTCTAGGAGGAAAAAGGACAGTCTCTCCTTATCTCAGGAGGTTCCATTTTCAGTGCACTCTGTCCAAGAATTGCAAGCAACAAGGTGAAGAGCTAGAACATTCCAGGTCATTCAGGTACCTGTCGTGCAAAATCAAGGGCCCGGTCAGCATTCTTATTGTCGCGCTCATACCAAATGAAGGAGGCAGACATTTACTGGATATTGAAATGATATATTCCCTATGACTTATAAGCCAGAGGAATAAAATTTTCATTACAAAATAATACAGTTCTATTCCTAAGGTTAGCTTTTACAGCTTGCCAGTAACTTGAGGACCAAACCAGTTAATACCAATTAATCAGTAAAATAGATGTATGTATGTGTGTGAATTTTATAAAATATTTGAAAAAGGTCTGTGTGCAAATCAACTTGAGAACCTAGATTTAAATCAGTTCCCACAATCTTGTCAGAAATACATTTTTTGAACTGTGATGTGGTTTTGTATGGTGGTTTTGTCTTGGTTCATTTTACAAATAGAGACTCCCCAGTTCTGGGAGAAAGTGCAGCAGCTGGGTGCACGCAGAGCAGGGTGAGGACTCCAATTCCGTATGTGCTGCCATCTCTTAGAACTTGTAAACACCTGTGAATGCACTCAATTTCAGTGCACACAGGTATACTCCCACACTAAATTCACACAATAACAGGCCCAGAAGTGACCTCACAGAGCAGTAAGTTAAGCCTTAGAAATGAGTAAACTGAGGCCACGAAGATGAAGTCATTTACCCAAGATCACAATTTTTTTTTTTTTTTTTTTTTTTTTTGGACAGGCAGAGTGGACAGTGAGAGAGAGAGACAGAGAGAAAGGTCTTCCTTTACCATTGGTTCACCCTCCAATGGCCAGTGCCCTGCACTGATCCGAAGCCAGGAACTAGGTGCCTCTCCTGGTCTCCCATGCAGGTGCAGGGCCCAAGCACTTGGGCCATCCTCCACTGCACTCCCTGGCCACAGCAGAGAGCTGGCCTGGAAGAGGGGCAACCGGGACAGAATCCGGCGCCCCGACCGGGACTAGAACCTGGTGTGCCGGTGCCGCAAGGTGGAGGATTAGCCTAGTGAGCCGCGGCACCGGCCTCACAATTACTTATTAACAAAGGTGGAATGTATCCCTGGTCTTGGGACTCCTGGTCCAGTGCTTTTTCTGCAGTGTATCACCCTGAAGTGTCAACAAATTCATGGTGTGTCTGATGGGAACAGGGGTAGGATTTATGAATTTAGAGTGATTTGGAAAGAGGTTCCCAGAGGAGGTGAGTTTTGACACATAATTTAAAAGATGGAAAGGCTGTGCTGTGGTCCACAAAGCTTGGAAAGCTATGCCTTCTGGTCTCAGCAAATCAGAGCCTGGTGAAGGCTGCCTACGCCGTGTACCTGCCTGGCCTCAGAGGTTCAGGCTTAAGGCTGAGCATTTCAACCAGAGGGAGGTACAGAACCCAAAGATCAGGAACTTTGGGTCTTCAGTCCCTCACCCCATTTATTTTTGACAGGCAGAGTTAGACAGTGAGAGAGAGAGATAAGAGAGAGTTATAGACAGTGAGAAAGAGACAGAGAGAAAGGTCTTCCTTCCGTTGGTCCACTCCCCTAATGGCCGCCACAGCTGGCACTGCGCTGATCCGAAGCCAGGAGCCAGAGAGAGAGAAAGAGAAAGGTCTTCCTTTCTGTTGGTTCACCCCCCCAAGTGGCCGCTACGGCCGGCGCTGCACCAATCGGAAGCCAGGAGCCAGGTGCTTCCTCCTGGTCTCCCATGTGGGTGCAGGGACCCAAGCACTTGGGCTATCTTCCACTGCCTTCCTGGGCCACAGCAGAGAGCTGGACTGGAAGAGGAGCAACCAGGACTAGTACCCAGCGCCCCAACTGGGACTAGAACCCGGGATGCCGGTGCCACAGGCGGAGGATTAACCAAGTGAGCCATGGCACCAGCCCTCACCCCATCTTAAAAACCAAAAATAGACCCTCCATCTGACTGACTGCTTCCTGTGACCATGAGGACAGTGGAGAAGTAGTGAATTTACACACAGCTGATCTGTTAGCTTAGCTAAGGCCCCAGACCCTAGAGATACACCTGCCCAAAGTCCCCAGTCTCATTTCTCATTTTCTGCCGTAGGCCAGCCAGATTCCTAATCATTGAGCACTCTGGTGGGGTAGAAGTTCATGGACTCCTGAAGCAAGGAATCCAGGGTCTCGTCCCAGCTCTGCCCGTTGGTAGCTGTGTGATCTGAAGTTCTTAACCTCTCTTATCCTGACTTTCCTCATCTCGTGACAAACGTTTGTTGAGAAACAAGTATTCGGTAGTCACAAGAGAGTGAAGGGGGGGCAGTCCTCAAAGAGCTTATATATAAAATTGAACTTATCATATATTTGTTAATTTGTTGTGAAGATAAAATGAACTTATATTTTATCATGACTAGACACATCGTAGTTCAATAATGTTATTTTCCCCAAGTCCAGCTATTAATAAAGAATGACAATTATATTAATGTTATTTTCTTGAGTAGAATTAAACACCCTCACCTTATCCATAGCTGTGTTAATTTTCTTTATTACACAGGTATTTCATAGTGAAAAAGTCTTGATGAAAAGAACATGGAGAGAAGCTGAAGCGTTTTGTGAAGAATTTGGAGCTCATCTTGCAAGCTTTGCCCATATTGAGGAAGAGAATTTTGTGAATGAGCTTTTACATTCAAAATTTAATCGGTAAATACATGTTAATTTTGAAAAACTTACAGTCAAATATTCCATCTCCTTGTAATGACTTCTTGGAGGTGATTACCCAAATAGTTGTTTTTTTAAAGATTTATTTTATTTATTTGAAAGAGTCACAGAGAGAGGTAGAGACAGAGAGAGAGGTCTTCCATCTACTGGTCCACTCCCCAGATGGCCACCATGACCAGGGCTGGGCCAGGCTGATGCCAGGAACCAGGAACCAGGAGCTTCTACCGGGTCTCCCATATGGGTGCAGGGGCTCAAGGACCTGGGCCATTCTCCACTGCTTTCCCAGGCACATTAGCAGGGACCTGGATAGCAAGTGGAGCAGCCAGAATTCGAACCAGCATCTATATGGGATGCCAGCACTGCAGGCCAGAGCTTTTTAAGCCACTGAGCCACAGCACCAGCCCCAAAATAGTTGTTTAAAATTCTAGTATTTGTTTTAAGCATAATACCAGCTAGCCATTAATTGTGAAAGAAAACACATATACACATTTGGTTTTATATTTCTATTGCACTAAATTCTCATTCCATAAAACTAAGAACAAAGTGATAATTATTTTGCTATTTGAAGTCTTTTCTTTGTTCCTCAAATCAGATGTTTAAGCTCAGTACTTTTCCAAGCATTGTCTGAGGATCCTGAGGGGATGGAGCCCTAGGGGGATGAGGGGGCTAAGAGAAGGGACAGGGCTCCAACCAGCTCCACTGCTAATTATTTTGTATATAATAGGAATCCATGTCAGATTTTGTTTGTAAAAAGAATCCCAGTGATTTGTTTTTAATTCCAATCTAGCCCCTAATTTTCCATTTGAGGAAACAGACATTCAGTTATCTGGGCCCATCTGGGAAATTTACAGAATGTTTCAGAATCAGTTAAGTTTACATAGGAAGAAATCTAAAAGGTCTTGTGGTATGTCCCACCCATGGCAGCAATTCCTTCTACCACCTTCTCATGGTCACCCAGTGTTTGCATAATTCCCTCCAGTTGCAGGACTTTCCTTAGTTGGGAGAAAGCTCATTCCATAGATAAAAGTAGTTTCAGTGTTCCCCTTCCTAGTAAGCCTCAAGTCTGTGTCCCCTCAGTGTGGAGCTAGAGCAATGCAGATCTTGTCTAGTCTATTTTCAAAGGAGGATTCTGTCTCCTGTTTGTAAGCCTTTCTATCCCTTGGCCTCTTTCTCTAGAATGTTCTTGTCAGTCAGCATCTATCTGGAGAGAGACCCAGTCATGCAAGAGACAAAACCCTGCCCCTGAGGATATCTTAGCTGAAGGGCAGCATGGCTCCATGGCTGCAAACTTTCATCTAATGAAAAGAAACATAGGCCAGGAACTCAGTGTCAAGCTCTGGAGCGCTGGAATCTCCATGAAACACTCGCTTGAATCCCAGAGAAAATACAAGACTGTATTTTGAGGAAAATCCTGGCCTTCCCCATAAATGTCCTTACAGGGTGAATATATAATATTCATCAAGTTATTAATTTTCAACATCTACAAAATGATCTTAAAAATGGAACTTCTTGACATCTCCCAATGTGGGCCTCATGGGGTGTTCTGTGGGGTAAAGTGTGGGGGGGTGTGTGTGAATGATTAAATATGACTTCAAAATGTACAATCTTGGCAATTTGGCATGTACGTTCTCACTGTAAAGTCCTCTAGAAGGAAGCTCTTTCACTGACTATAAAACCCTTTTCGTGAGAACACATTTCAATGTTCCTTGGGACTGCTGGTCACTGTTAGATACTGACCTGAGACCATGGCTGCAGAGCCTGGCTGCTCATCATAATCACTAACACAGAATTCCCTGGGCTCACAGCCAGAATCACACTGGCTGAGACTGAAGGAACATTTAGGAAGCTTCTTGGTCAAGTGGATTATTCTCCAGATGCAGGGCCACACATAAAGGGATACGTGACAGTCTCCATGGTTCTAGGTTGCATTTGGCTTCATTACTTTAACCTTTAGTGAGGTTTGCTGTAGCAAACAATCACATGCAAATTGCTTTCCAGTTTGCTTTAAGATCAAATATTAATTTTATAAAAGTTTTAGTCCCAAAAATTAAGGTTGGATGTGATTATGTCATTTCTAGTTACATAAATTCTACTCTTAAACTTTATAGTAGAGTTTAGTGCCAGGCATCTGTGAAATAATTTATCTTTAGCTTCTAAACATAAAAGCTATCAAATGTGTGTTACTGTTTGCCTGCACAACCAGGGAATTCCATCAAATTATGTGTGTGTGTGTGTGTGTTTATTTTAAAATTTTATAACTTTAGGAAATTGATGGGAAGAAAATAACTACCAATCTGTCATCTAGGAACCAGTATATAGCAGGAAAAAGGTAGAACCCTCAATTCAGTGAGAGAAGAATGACAAAACTCTCAGTGCAGAGATTTCCAGTCTTCCCCTGCAGATTAATGTGCCTGGCTTAACCTCCAGGTGGTCGTTGTCCCCCTACACAACCTTCAGTGTAAATTGTCGTCACCACACTGACCAACCAAGCACCTGTGATGCCTCCAATTTTTGAGGTTGCATCTGACTGTAATTTGTATCATTCAGGCAGAGGAACTCTGATACCTGAGCAGTGATGCTTCCGAACAGGCTGGCTTCCTGCACTAAGGAAAATAAAGCATCTGTCACGACTTCTGAATCTTTTAAATCTTTAATTCTTCAAAATTATACTCAGAAAATTATCCTAGTGAGATGGGTCATTGTACGATTAGGCTTTATTGCTTGATTTATTGAGTACTCTGTGGTTTGACATATTTGTACTCTGCCTAATAGGAGGGAAGATGATTCTCTGTGGAGCTTCTTGCCAAGGCTAAACCAATGGTGACTTCTGGGGTTAATTTACCATGCCTCAGGCTGATTTGCTTCGAATGATTTGTGTTGGAATCTAAGAAAAACCCCAAACCTTTTGTATACTCTTTATTATTAAGTAAAGATGGTGATGACTAATTTTCAGAAAAATTCATGAACATTTGACAAACCAAATCACTATAAACTAGTTTAAGTCATATGGTGGTAAAGTAGTAAATACATAATAAAGTGGTAAAAAAAAATCCTCTAAGAAGAGATGTTTGAAAATCTCTTATCCATCTACTATCATATATTCTTGTTTGGACCAAAAGGCATTGTCATTCCTGATGAGAAACTCATGTTCTCAGTATGGGTTGACTTTTCCCCACATAACTGATGAACAAGTCACACAAGCCAAGAGAAATAGGATGTGAGGCTATGTCTTCTCCATCCATTGGATAGCAGTTCAAATATGTCCAATAAATAGTTGTTGACTTGATCAACCCTGCCTGGTAACGTCAACTGTTTCCTGCTTACATAAATATTTTAAAATAAGTTTTGACTATTTTACATAAAGTTGTGTATTCAAAGGGAAAGGAAATGTTTTTATTTCTTCTCTCTAGGTCAGAAGAAAGGCAGTTTTGGATTGGATTTAATAAAAGAAACCCACTGAATGCTGGCTCTTGGGAATGGTCTGATGGAACTCCTGTAAGTCTTTCCAAACTGGATAAAAGGAGGCAGACTCAAAGCAAGTGACCCTAGAACCAGCATGGAGAACCTAGGAATAATAACCATATCTCCCATGATAAAACTGGGCCAAGAGAGCAATTTTGGAAAGATCTTGGAAGGCCTTTGCTAGCCAGATGGTTCTAAAGCCACTTTAGAATCTCATCCTGAAAAGGAATCAAAATTTCCAAAAACCACCCCCAAACCATCTCACGTGTACACAGGCCCTCGGGCAGAGAAGGAGCTGTTCTTTCAAATAACCCCAGGGTTCCTTTACCCCAGCCTCTCTCTCCCACATATGGCCCTGATGGGGGGAATAGAGGACCCTGTCTGTGTCACAATGAGAAGCAAGCAGTTTATCTCACTCTAAAAGGACAAATACGCCAGCCTTAAAGATAGCACCTTCTTCTTGGCCAGAGCAAGCTTTTCAGAAGGAAAAGAAGTTTTGCATTTTCATTCAGCCTCATCCTTGGAAACATCTGTGAAGGATACAGGGAACTCACTATTGCATTTTTTTTCTTCATGTGCAATGAGAAAGTCTCTGTTTTTTTCTCAATATGACAGAGAAAAAAAATTGATGCCATGTTCCAGATTGAAATGGGATCCAGCCTAGGGATTGTGCAAAGACATCCAGGTAGTCAACTTCACATGTGAGATGGGGACTAGCCAATACCAGCAGGGAAAGTTTAATCAGTTCCTATTAACTCAGCCATTAATATTCCAGGCACACTCCTGTGTGCTTTTAGTTCATCTGATTGTAACTTAGTGCAGTGGGCATTAGAATGATTAAGTAGTTTGTCTAAAACAACACATGGGAGAGCCAGCATTTGCACACAGGTTGTTTGATTCCAAAGCTGCAATATTATAATATCTCCCAGTTGGCAAATTATGAGCAGCCAGACTTTGAAATAGTAAAGATCAATAGAGAATTAAATAGATGGCTGCAAATTTGTGTCCAAAAGGGATATAGATATATAGATATAGATGATATAGATGGCATAGATATGGATAGATAGATAGATGTATAGATACAAACATAGATTGCTGTATGCATCTAATGGGAACAAAAATAATGATAAGGGCATGCTAGTTTAAAAAAAATAAGAACATTTCTTTTCTAATACAGCTTGTTTGGAAAGAGTGTCAGAATCAGAGTGGGAAGAGATCTTAGAGATCACTCATTCCTTCCCACCTATTTTGCTGATGAGGAAACCAAGGCCAGAAAAGGAACAGGCAAGGCAAGGTCAATTCACACCATAAATGGCAGCCACAGCACAGCACAGTTGGGTAGTTAAAGACAACATAACATTTGAAAAACAGAAGGTAATACACAGAGCTTGAGAACACTTCATTTTGTTTTAGTAAAACTCATTAGTAATAGGATAAGAATAAACAATTTGGTTAAGATTAAGTGAGATGGCAGCGCCGCGGCTCACTAGGCTAATCCTCCGCCTAGCGACGCCGGCACACCGGGTTCTAGTCCCGGTCGGGGCGCCGGATTCTGTCCCGGTTGCCCCTCTTCCAGGCCAGCTCTCTGCTGTGGCCCGGGAGTGCAGTGGAGGATGGCCCGGGTGCTTGGGCCCTGCACCCCATGGGAGACCAGGAGAAGTACCTGGCTCCTGCCATCAGATCAGCGCAGTGCGCCGGCCGCAGTGTGCCGGCCGTGGCGGCCATTGGAGGGTGAACCAACAGCAAAGGAAGACCTTTCTCTCTGTCTCTCTCTCTCTCACTGTCCACTCTGCCTGTCCAAAAAAAAAAAAAAAAAGATTAAATGAGATAAGGCCATAAAGTAGTGGACTGAGTTCCTCTCTATCCACTCTGGACAAAATGAGTTCAAACTCAAGTTATTCTCCGAACCTGAGGATATACACATTTAAGTTAGCTGAATTGTTGAACAATTATGTTCACATCTAAGGAACAGTATAATATGGCTTTCAAAGATCTTCTTTTGCGCTGGGCATTTGGTGATATAGTTGAGATACCGATTAGGATATCCACAACTCATATTAGAGTACTTGGGCTCAAGTTCCAACTTCACTCCCAATTCTAGCTTCCTGTTAATGTGTACCCTGGGAGGCAGCCGGAGATGGCTACAGTAGTTGGATCCTTGCCATCCATGTGGGAGACAGATTGAGTTCCAGGCTCCTGGTTTCTCCCTGGCACAGCCCCAGCTGTTGCAGGCATTTGGGGAGTGAGCTAGCAGATGGGAGCTAGTGCTCTCTCTCTCTCTGTCTCTCTCTGAGTTTGATTTTTAAATTAAATAATTATTTGTAAATCCTCTTTTTCTCAAAGTTTTGTTCCAATTTTATTTGTAGTCTATCCACTCTTCTGTCAGGTAATTATTAAATAGTAGGGAAAGTTGATTCTTTAATGTTGGGATGCACAAGCGAAAGGAGAGACAGGACACAGGAACTTTTATTCCAAAAAGTGCCACTGGGCCAACCCAGTGTGTTTTCTTTATTGATAAGGATTACAACAGCCTATTGTACAGTGCATGCATGTGAACATGTAACTCTAAGGTTTCTTTGTAACATGTTTAGTAAGACATATTAGTTAAGCATGTCGGGGAAAGCAGCTGCATGTCCTTGTGAAGCCAACGTTCCCACAAGGGCCCAATGCTCTTCTTGTTAGTAGGTCATAAACTATCCTTAATCAGTCCTTGTGGTCACACTCTCTGTTCTAGGAAGAAAATATCTTCACTAGGAGTGCACTGGCAGAAATCTTATTCTCCACATTTCCCCCCTTTCTTGTTTTATAAATGTTTATTAGCAATATAATTTTGGCAGAAATTTTATTCTCCACACTTTAGTGCCTCTGTTTGCATGAAGTATTTGAGTTATGTGGAAAGTGAGGGATCGTTTCCTAATGAAAGGTGGCTACAGCTTAGAATTTAGTTAGCACAGACTAACAGCTTAGCATGTATGTAAAAGAATCCACATCAAAATTGTAACCAGAAAAAGAAACAACAGAGAGAGCTACAGACCAATATCTCTGATGAACATATATGCCAAAATCTTGAACAAAATACTAATTAAATCCAACAACATATTAGAAAGATCATTCACCTAAAACATATGGGATTTATCCCCAGTATGCAGGGATGGCTCAACATTCACAAATCAGTAAATGTGATACATCACATTAACAAACTGAAGAACAAAAATCATATGATTATTTCAATAGATGCAGAGAAAACATCTGATAAAATACAACATCCTTTCATGATAAAAACCTTAAGCAAATTGGGTATACAGGAACATTCCTCAACACAATCAAGGCAAATTTATATCAAATCTACAACCAGCATCTTATTGAATGGAGAAAGGTAAAAGTATTCCCACTGATACCTTGAACCAGATAAGGATGCCCACTCTCACGATTGCTATTCAATATAGTCCTGGAAGTTTTAGCAAGAGTCATTAGGCAAAAGAAGAAATCAAAGGGATACAAATAAAAAAGGAAGAATTCAAAATATCCCTATTTGCAAATGATATGGTTCTATATAAAGGGAAACCAAAAGACTCCACTAGAGACTACTGGAACTCATGAAAGATTGCTAAAGTGGCAGAATATAAAATTAACACACAAAAATAAAAAATCAAACACACAATGCCATGGCTGACAGAGAACTTCTAAGATCAATCCCATTCACAATAGCTACAAAAAAATTAAATACCTTGGAATAAATTTAACTAAGGAAGACAAAGATCTCTATGATTGAAAATTATAAAACATTAAAGAAAGAAATAGAGTAAGACACAAAAAATTGTTAAAATCTTCCATATTTGTGGAATGGAAGAATTAATGTCATCAAAATGTCCATACTACCCAAAGCAACTTATAGATTCAATGTGATACCAATCAAAATACCAACAACATTCTTCTCAGATCTAGAAAAAATTATGCTAAACTTCATATGGAAACACAAGGGACTCTAAGTAGCTAAATCAATCTTATACAACAAAAACAAAGCCAGAGGCACCACAATTCCAGATTTTTAAGGCATAAAGCAGGGCAGTTATAATCAAAACAGCCTGGTCCTGGCAAATAAATAAATAAATAAACACACACACAAACTAACATGTAGACAAATGGAACAGAATATAAACTCTAGAAATCAATCTGTGCATCTACAACCAACTCATCATTGGCAAAGGAGCTAAAATCAATTCCTGGAGAAAGGACAGTCTCTTTAACAAATGGTGCTGGGAAAACTGGATCCCTGTATGCAGAAGTATTATACAAGACCCCTACCTTTACACCTTACACAGAAATCCACTCAAAATGGATCAGGAACCTCAGTCTGTAACCTGATATCATCAGATTACTAGAGAACACTGGGGAGACTCTGCAAGATATTGGCATAGGCTAAGACTTCTCGGAGAAGACACCAGAAGCACAGGCAATCAAAGCCAAAATTGACAAATGGGATTAAGTCAAGCTGAGAAGCCTCTGCACTGCAAAAGAAAAGTTCAGCAAAGTCAAGAGGCAACCAACAGAATGGGAGAAAATATTTGCAAACTATGCAGCTGATAAAGGATTAATATCCAATATCTATAAAGAGCTCAAGAAACTGAACAGCAACAAAACAAACAATACAGTTAAGAAATGGGCAAAGGACTTGAATGGCCATTTTGCAAGATTTTCAAGAGAGGAAATTCAAGTGGCCAACAGACAGATGAAAAAATGCTCAGGATCACTAGCCATCAGGGAAATACAAATCAAAACAACAATGAGGTTTCACCTCATCCTAGTTGGAATGTCTCTCAGACAGAAATCAACAAATATGAATGCTGGTGAAGATGTAGGAAAAAAGGTATCCTAATCCATTGTTGGTGGGGATGCAAACTGGTGCAGCCACTGGGGAAGATAGTATGGAGGAGATACGTCAGAAATCTGAAAAATATATCTACCATATGACCAAGCAATCCTGGGAATTTACCCAAATGAAATTAAATCAGAATATGAAAGAATTATCTGTACCTCCATGTTCACTGCAGCTCAATTCACAATAGCTAAGATATGGAATCAATGCAGATGTTAATCAACTGATGATGGTATAAAGAAATTATAGTTTATATTTATATATACTATAGAATACTACTCAGTGATTAAAAAAAATGAAAGCCTGTCTTTTGCAACAAAATGGATGCAGCTGGAAACCATTATACTTAGGGAGATAAGCCAGTCCCAAAAAGACAGATACCATATGTTTTCCCTGATCTGTGGTAACTAATAGAGTTCCTAAACTATAATGTATAGGAGTGAAATGGACATCTTGAGATTCAGTGATTATTCACAGCCCATGTCTTGACCGTTTATTTTTCTTCCTACTATGTGTTGAAGTCTTTACTTAGTGTAAGATTAATCTTATGAGAATAGAGTAAACTGGAAATAGATCTTTGTAAAAATTAAGAGTGAGAATAGGAGAGGGAGAAGGAAGAAGGGTGGGAGCAGGGGCAGGAGGGAGGGTTGGGTAGGAAGTCTCACTATGCTCCTAAATCTGTATATATGAAATACATGAAACTTGTATTCCTTAAAGAGAATTTTTTTAAAACTCTTATTCACATCTGACACATCCCTGAATCTCTAAGAAGGTTACCCAGGATCTTCCAGCTAGACTTATCCTGTCAGTCAGAAAAACACTACAAGTTCAAAATGAAGCTTGCATCTGTTTTGTTCCTTCTGGAGGAAGAAATAGCACACTCACTTTTAAGAAAAAGCATCCTTGAAAAACAATCCTAAGTATTTATTACCTGGTTCTTCCCAAATATGGAAGAACCACTAATTGGAGTTCTGAAGCTTCCTCTGGAAGTCTATAATGGTTATGGGCAGGGCTGCTTTCTGATCTTTTGAATATTTTTGTGGGGGATCATCATTAAGGAATAATGAACTTCATCTGCTGCAGGTTATCTCTTCATTTTTAGACAATAATTATTTTGGAGAAGATACAAGAAATTGTGCTGTGTATAAGGCAAACAAAACACTGCTGCCCTTGCACTGTGGTTCCAAACGTGAATGGATATGCAAAATTCCAAGAGGTAAAAATAAGGTCTTTCCTATCTATTTGATTCCTTGTGTAGCATGCCCCCATTGAAGAGCTTCAGAGATATAAAATTTAAGTGCCCTGAACCACACAATTCCAACAACCTGCCTGATGAAGCAAATATCAATACATTAGTGAAGAGTGTGTCACAGGGAAATGAGAAATAACACCAGTGCAGTGTGCCAAGTTCATTCATTGGGAATGAAGGGATCAAGCTAACACTGAAGAATAGTTTATTATACAAATACAGTCTGGAAGATATTTCACTTTGACTTTACAAGCAACCAGGATGACTTGTAAAATGAGTACATAGAAGCACCTGGCGCAGTGTGTAGCACCAGAAGGCCCTCAAGGATTGTTCATGGCCTTTCTTCTTTAATCCAAAAGCTTTCTGGTTCCTTCTCTTCCAGTAGGAAGACTTAACCATACAATAAAAACAGCACAAAATACCTAGTTTTTTTCCCAATTATTTTTTTAAAAGGTAGAGTATAAAATAGTGTATTATAGCTAAAGTAATTCAGAGACAATTCACCTCTGAAGTAAGTTAATCAAGGTGATTTGCTTTTACTTTGCAGATGTGAGACCCAAGATTCCATCCTGGTACCAATATGGTAAGCACCATTCTTGCAGTTCCTAAATTTCTAATTATACACTATAAAAGTGCTATGAGGTACCATTATTGTGTTATTACATTCTTCCAATCAAGCCTCTTTCTCCTTATGTTCAAATTAATGGTTAAAAGTAAAAAATCAATTAATGTGTTTATTAAATATGATTGAAGACTAATATCACAATTTACCTCTATTTTCCTGATGTGATTTTAAAATATCCTTGATCTTTTAATCTTTGAAGCTTTCATGTATGAGGAAGACTAAGGACAATCAACAAATTATGTAATTATTTGTGTGTGTGTGTGTGTGTGTGTAGATAGAAATTTAATGTACATTTTAAAATGCCAAGTGACCAAATTACAAATTGAGATCAAACATAGCATACCTATTTAAAGTCTGCATTCTCTCTCTCAATAGTTTTGGCATCATTTGTGGTGGTGTTTTTCTTTTTTGTTCAGATGCACCCTGGCTCTTTCATCAGGATGCAGAGTACCTTTTTTATCCACATTCCTCGGAGTGGTCCTCCTTTGAGTTTGTCTGTGGCTGGCTGCGCAGTGATATTCTCACCATTCATTCTGCACATGAGCAAGAATTCATCCTCAGCAAAATAAAAGCGGTACTTAAATACAGCTCATAAGGAGAAAGTCAGAATGTAGCATATTCTTCTGTCCTGAGGAGGGGGAGGGGGATGATATTTGATGTTAGACATTGGTTTAATTTTCCTTAAAAGCCACAGATTTTCAGAATTGTTTTAGTTCCTGTTCTAGAGATAATGAGAAAATAACAGATACAGGTTTACTATGTTGCATAGTCAGTTCACTTCTCTTCATTCTGTATTAGCAACAATGGTGAGTAAATCATTTTATTTTCTGAAGTTCATTTGATCATTCCACATGTATTTACTGAGAGGCTTCTAGGGATTAGGGTTTTATCAGTGATTAAAACAGACAGAAATTCCTGCTCTCATGGACTTGACAGTCTAATCTGGGAAGAAAGACCATACTCAATACATGTAAATAGAATTATATACTATATTAAAAAAAAGTATAAATAGTCAAATGCTGTGAAGGAAAATAAAGCTCATGTGAGCATATGCAAGACTAGCAGTACCTGGATAGGGGAGTAGTTTTAAAGTTTCAAAACTTTCTTCCTTTTAAATTTGTAGATGCTCTATACAGAAATGCTAAGTAGTTTTCCATTTCAAGTTAAGATAAAGACTAGACTTAATCTTTCGAGAAACTAGGCTAATAAGTAAGGATTATTATGCAAGACCTGGGTCATGCAGTTTTTTTCATTGTATCCCTTCAATAAACATTTGTAGAGCATCAAGTACATTCCTGGCAATGTGATATTTGTTGAAAACACGAAAATGTAGGAGACATATTTTCTGCTTGTAATAAAGCTGGATATACTGATTTGAAAACATGTTGTACGTGGTAAACACATACAATTTGATCTGTCAATTTTTATTTTTATTTTTTATTTTTTTACTTTTTAAATTTTTTAATGAATGCATTTTTACATAGATACAACTTTAGGAATACAGTGGTTCTTTCCCCCATGCCCTTTACCCCGCTCCCATCCCACTTCCCATTCCCTCTCCCATCTCCTTCTTCATTATGGATCATTTTTAGTATGTCTTTATATACAGAGGACCAACTCTATGCTAATCATAGATTTCAACAATTTGCCCCCACGCCCACACACAACAGATACAGTGTGGGGAGAGAATTTGCAGTTGATTCTCATATTGCAATTCAATAGGGACACAGGTCCTACCTGGGGAGCAAGTGCACAGTGACTACTGATGTTCCTTTAACAATTAACACTCTTTTGATCTGTTAATTTTTAAAATAAAAATTGTTAATTAAGCAGTTAGAAATAATACACTCTTGTATGGTGCAGTAAATAAAAAAGGAGCCATGGACAAAGACAACCAAGAAGACCTCACTCCCAACTTTCCTCCGAAAACTTTGAAAGCAAGAAAAGCCATTTTCTTTTTCTATTGTTTAAATATATGTCATGAACTCTAAGTTCTATTATCTTTTCATAACTTTGTAAGTTGATTGTTAAAATGAAGCTCTGTCTTAAAGCATCCAAGGCTTGTAGAGAAATAAATGTCTGCACTCCCAGCTCATGGGGTTTCATCATCTTTGTATCCTTTTTCTTATTGTATCCTTTTTCTTAACCTCATTCAGCCCACAAGGTTGATGCACATGAGGGCTCCTACCACATTTTGATGGAAAAACTGAGAAACAGAGAAGTTAGGTGACAACCCCATTCTCCCACAGAGACTCAGTGGCAGAACATCCTCTAGATCCAGGATGTTTCCTACCCTCAATTCATATTCTGTTTTGCCACCCTTCCACTTCTACAAATGAAGCACTCAATTCAAAATGTATGTTCACTATCAACAAATTACACCCTAGGATATCAGAAAATACATTGTTTCTTCAGCCTGTTGCCAAACTCCTCCCCTTAGGCGGCAATAACAAGAGGACAGGTGAATGGCTGAAAACCAGTCCATCAAGGTGCAAAATATATATCCCCAAAAGAGCTGCTACTTGGCCAATGTTTGCTGTAATCATGTCAGGCACTGTGCCAAACGCTAGCATTTAATCCCATTACTCTTTCCAAAAACCTTCTGTGGGAAGTCCATTATTAGTACATTTTATAGATGAGGAAGCTAAGACTCTAAAGAGCTTGGTTACACAGTAGTTAAATGGTTGAATTTGGAGGGGAAGCCAAGCCATCTGACTCACAAGGTGATTTAAAAACTCCAAACAGTGCTAGCTATGACAGCAGAACATATGTGTTGGGAGTATGTAAGAGTACAACGCCTTCATTATATAAAGTGCTAGTTTGAAAATCCCTCCCCAAACAATGGCTGCCAACACGAACATTGAAGGACATCTTTGATCTTTCCAGCAGCACTTAGCTCTCCTCATAACCTCTGTAGATCTTCTCTTCACTTTTCCTCTCAATTTGCCTCCTTATATCTGAGATATGGGAAGCCACTGGGGATAGCAGAGTTCATACTCCCTATAAGAGAACAGTAACTCTCTGTGGATTTAGCAGTTGGGAAGGCATAGCCAGTGACATGATCTAGCTGAGGACTATGACCTCAAATCAGACAAATCTTGTGGTGTCTTATATAGCAAAAATATTGTTGAGCCTGTGACCAAGTTAATGTAGAATATCTGTCAGTGTTATAGATGAACTGCTAACTGATCTAATACCCACTGTGCTACTAAAGAAAATTATTGGAAGGTACAGAATGTGCAAACTGAGAAAGGGCAAAGGGACTATATCAATCCATACCATAACCTGGGTGGCATATAAACAATAGAATATATTTCTCACAGTTCTGGAGGTTGGAAGCCCAAGACCCAAGTGCTGGCAGATTTGGTGTCTGGTGAGGGCTCACTTCCTGGTTCAGACACAGGTGTCTTCTCCCTATGTCCTCATACGGCAGAGGGGCAAGGGAGTTTTCTAGCGTCCCTTTTATTAAGTGCACTAATCCCACTTGCAAGGATTCTACCCTATTGATCTAATCACTCCCCCTGCTCCAAAGGCCTCACTTGTCTCCTACTATATCACCTTGAGGGTTAGGATTTCAACATGTGCACTTGGGGGAAATACAAACACTCAGTCTATAGCGAGGTTAAGGGGAAAGAACATGAATTTATAAAGACGAAAGCTGTAGATGTCCAAGTTGTTGATTGTGCATAATTTGTGGCTACGTTGGGCACTTTCGGTTGTAGATGGTGATGGTGGTATTTATGGTGTGCATTTACAGCTCATCAGTAATACCATTATTAAGCATATCATCCTAGAGAGGGTCAGGTCAGGGGGAGGTAAGAGGAGCCAAATGTATAGAGGCCATGCCACTCACATCAATGACATGTCCATCCTGTACATGTAGGAAAACTTTTATAAAGTTAATTAAATGCTTTAAATTATATGTATTTTGTATAGCACTCTTACGAAGAGTAGTGGCCAGAATTGTGAAAAACAGGAATAACACTTAGTTGAAGTTAAGAAGAGTTAATTATGAACAAGAAATCTGGATATGGTTTTGAAAATTTAAAGTAAAAAATGTTAACAAAGTTCTCTATTTTGGAAAAAGAATAAGTCAGTGTTTACTATCCAATTCTGAGTAATAAAAGACCATAAGGCATGATCATAGTGAATTTTTTAATACAAATGGCCTCCATTTCTGTGGGTTTCTCAGCAGATGATTGAACCAAACACAGATCAACAAAAAACTGTTTTAATGGCATCTAGTACCAAACATGTACTGATTTTTTTTCTGATTATTCCCTGAAAAATACAGTATAATGAAATTTACTTACATAGCATTTACATTGTATTATGTATTATAAGTAATATAGAGATAATTAGAAGTATACAGAGGAGTGCCTAAATGATATATGAATATTATACCATTTTATAGAAGAGATTTGAGCATCTACTGGTTTTGGTACCCATAATACCCTGCAAATACTGAGCAAAGACTTTTTTTCTTTTGGCTATCTTAGAGCAATGCTAAAAAAGTAAAAAGCCAAAGGAAAAAGGAGATGTTATAAACTACTAAACAGTTAGTCCACTTGGCTAACATCTTTTTACTATATTATACAGTATTTGCACTTGGAAATGACAATTTACCAGTGTTTTTAAATTTCATTTTAAACACTTCTAAAAATGTGCATCAAATTTGTTGGTCCTCCTCTAAAATCAAGTATTTAAAAGCCTGAAAACAACTTGGTTTTTGTCATTTTTTGAGGGAAACAATTAAAAGATGATAGGTTGTTCTTCCTTACATTGCTTAGTATTTTAATATATTGTCTACTCTGTTTTATTTCTTTCTGATAAATGTTCATCCCACATGATGCTAACTATCGTGGCTGTTTGTATATAAAAAACACAAGTAATGTTATAAAGTGTACCTTCATATTGCTTTTTCTATATGAACACTTTTTTTTTTTTTTTTTTTTTTTTTTTGGATAGGCAGAGTTAGACAGTGAGAGAGAGACAGAGAGAAAGGTCTTCCTTTTTCCGTTGGTTCACCCCCCAAGTGGCCGCTGCGGCCAATCTGAAGCCAGGAGCCAGGTGCTTCCTCCTGGTCTCCCATGAGGGTGCAGGGCCCAAGTACTTGGGCCATCCTCCACTGCCTTCCTGGACCACAGCAGAGAGCTGGACTGGAAGAGGAGCAACAGGAACAGAATCCGGCACCCTAACTGGGACTAGAACCCGGGTGCCGCTGCTGCAGGTGGAAGATTAGCCTATTGAGCCGTGGCACCGGCCTATAGGAACACATTTTAATAAGCCTTCTATTGTGTGGCCTTATATCTAAGTTAAAATTTAAAACATTGATTTTTCCATGGTATGCTTCAGTCTGGGTGCCTTGTGGCCTGTGCCATGAAGTTCTGTGAATATTGCAACAGGTTGGTGTGTGCTGTGTGGAAGATTACCTCACCATAATTGAGGTGGTAATAAATCTGCCACTTAAGTTGCAGTAGTTGTAATTTGTCTTTAGCAGTCCTTAATTGGGGCAGTGAACAGTCAGGCCACGATTTCCACTACTGTTGCATGTAAGATCTCTTTACATTGAATGAAATTGCTATGGTTCTCCCACTGAGTTCACAGTCGGTCTCAATGGACCCGTTCCAAAGCCTGACAACAGAAATCTAAATTTAGCATGTAAGAACATGTCCATGAAACAACACCTCAGGGATCCAAAATTACAGTTCTTCCATACTGTTTTATTCTCAAATTACTGATATGGCTGACAGCCACGCTGTTTAAAGCACAAAAATACCTGTGTATAAATTAGGGTGTTAGAGAGCTATTAGATTCTGCTGTGTAATGCCTGAAACTCATACAGGAAAATAATGTATCTTAAAATGTATTCTCAGGTCTTATAGAAGAAATGAAAGTACAAGCTGAAATTTATAATGCCTCCAAATTAACAAATCTTTAGCATAGAATAATTGTTACATTTTAACACAGACACACATGCAGAGTACACACATCATAAAATATATTGATTTAGAGGAGAGGTCTTAAAGAAACTTACTTCCCCTTCTTCTTTTATAGTTAAAGAGAACACTTCAATTTCCTGGGTCATAAGGCCAATATTACATCCGCTCTCATTCCTGTATGTAGAGGTGTGCACGCATACATACATGTTTTTGTTTTTCAAGTTTATATTTTATTGTACCTAGATCTGAATGATTAATTATTGTGTAAGATTAGTGAAATACATAAAGGATAGTTTTCCATTCATTAAACCCTGGGAATTCTGAGGTGTTCTTTAGTCTCATATTATGTCTGTCTATTTGAATGCTGTTCAAAGCTTAACAAAGTGATGGCTAAAATTCAGAATCTTTACACACTCCTCAGGTCTTTGTACATTAGATAGTGGTTCAAATAGTTGTGACATGTGCAGTGAACTTCCATAAATAACTGAGAGGATAAGTGCCAGACTGTTTAATCAGAAGGGAATCTGGGGTGGGCATGCAGCACAGTGAGTGAAGCAGCCATTCTGAGTGACCACATCCTGAATCAAAGTGCCTGGGCTGGAACTGCACCTCTGCTTCCAACCCAGCTTCCTGCGGGAACTCGTGGGAAGCAGCAGTTGAGAGCTCAAGTATGTGAGTCCCTGTGACCCACACGAGAGGCCAGGATGGAGTTTCTGGCTCCTGGCATTGTCCGGTCCAGGCTGCGCTATTGCAGACATTTGGAAAGTGAACCTACAAATGGAAGCTTTCTCTGTGTCTTTGTCTTTGTCTCTGTCTTTGTCTCTGTTTCTGTCTCTCTCTCTCCTTCTCTCTGTTTCTCCCCCTCTACCTCCTCCACTTTTCAAATAAATAAAAACTGAATAAACATTTTTTAAAAGGAATCCATCTTCTATTTTACTTTTCAATTGTTTTAGAGAAATTACTTTTCAAATTCTATGAACCTAAAAATTAGTTCCAGTGTTTGATTCCAATTTTCCTTCCAAATGAGGAGGGAATATTTTACAATAACAAAGCATTAGGCTTTCACAACATGCTAGGCCTTAGTTACTCTTCCTTAGGAAATCAGGTAAAATACTGAAGAATAGAAAGTTATTTGCAGCAACTCCTTTAATCTTAGTAGTGAAAAAGGAAAACAAGTAGAATAAATGCTGACATTTTATTTTCTTTAATAGCTCTCTAAGTATGGTGCAAATTGGTGGATTGGACTTCAGGAAGAAACAGCCAATGATGAACTGCGGTATGAACCTGGATTAATTTGCATTCAATATTGTTTGTAGGTTTTATTTGCAAAATGACTTCACAAGATTTTAGTCATCATTTTGTTAAGTAGCCTTCAAAATTCTCTTTAACTTATAAATGTTCATTTCCCTAACCAAAGATATGTGTATTTTTAAGTCTACACCAAGGAAATCATCTCTACAATCTATGCTTAATCAAATGATGACCTCCAAATCTTTTCCCTCCACTTTATTTATGCATTTATTTATTTTTGTAGTAAGAATATTGAAATTAAATCCGCTTTCTAAGTTTTTAAGTATACAATATTGTTAATTTTATTGCTATTCTATTCTATGCATAAGGGTTTTTTATTTTATGTGAGGTTTTAGTCCGTGTATACATTGTGTTATGTCCAATCAGAGTAATTATATGTATCTTTTCAAACATTTCATATTTCTTTATAATGAAAACATCCAAATCTTATCTTCTACTTTGTTTTTTAATGAGTATTTTTTAATTCAATAAAATAGTGTGCCTTCACCCCAAGGATCAGAACTCCAGGAATGGTGTTGGAGATTGAACATACAGAATGAGAGAAGACCTTAAAATATTTTGTATTCCCACAGCTGGAGAGATGGAACACCAGTCATTTACCAGAACTGGGACAAAGAAAGAGATAGATCCATGAATAATCAGAGCCAGAGATGCGCCTTCATTTCTTCCATAACAGGTTATTTCATTTATCCATTCGGGGTTTATCATACACACCACTAACTCTGAGGAGGCTTGACGTCTCCCTTTCATTGCATCAGTTCTGTGAGAAGGTTCCATTTTTTTCACTTTTCTTTTCAGCTGACTGTGTTGTGTCAATATTATTAGTTTAAGGCTTGAGGATGGCCATCCTTCTGTTTAATGCATGCATTTATGTTCCTGAAACTAATTTAGATCTGGATAATTCCTTCTTCATGAACCAAAACAGCACCAAAGTAAGCCTATGGAAAAAAATGCCTGGGTGGGCCCGGCGCTGTGGTGTAGTGGATAAAGCTGCTGCCTGCAGTGCCAACATCACATAGGAGCACCCCTTGAGTCCCAGCTGTTCCATTTCCAATCCAGCTCTCTGCTAACGGCCTGGGAAAGCAGAAGATGGCTTACGTCCTTAGGCCTCTGCACCTGCATGGGAGACCCAGAAGAAGCTCCTGGCTCCAGCCATTGTGGCATTCTGGGGTGTGAACCAGCAGATGGAAGACCTCTTTTTCAAATCTCTCTCTCTCTCTCTCCCTCCCTCTCTTCCACCCCTCTTCCTCCCTCTCTCTCTGCCTCTGCCTCTCCGTAACTCTGCCTTTCAAATAAATTAATAAATCTTAAAAAACAACAAAAAAAGAAAAATATACCTGGAAAATACTATTCTCTATGAAATTTCAGTATGCACTTATTTTTTAAATTTTTTCCTAGTATCTAACTTATAATTAGCTGGATAAAATTTATTTCATTTTCCCATTTAATATTCTTACTCAGTTTGGCATTCTTTTTAATACTTGGCATTAATTGTTGCTTGCCTTAGAACAGCAGCTCTTTGCAAATTGGGTTTAGAAGCATATTTAGGTTGAAGTCCAGTCAGTACAGTGTTGTTTGAGTGGCCCATTTATGCTCACCTCTTTCTAATCAATAAAAGGTAATGCTAGCCTTACTCTGACAGATTCTTAACCAATGTGTGCCCCAAGTCAGGAGAGGGATAAATATGGGAAGCTATCCATGGTCCCTCTGTAGCAAGTTACAAAAGGAAAGACCATGTGCTTAATCAGCTTGCTTTTGCCAGCAGGTGTCACAACAGCCTGCGGAAATGGCTGTTTTGAGAGTGCAGGAGAATCTGCATTGAAATTGGATTCCAGCCCCTCTTTCAAATCCAATATCTTTTTAGTTCATATTTATGATACTAGAAAACTGAATCTACTCTTGCAATTTCCATGCACCCTGCCCTGTTCTGGAATTTATGACTTGGATACTAATGAAATACATTCTGTAATTGTAAGCCTAAAACTAGAGCTTTCCTAAATTAAAAAAAAAAAATACAAAAGATTGGCTTTAAGAGGCTAAGGACTTGAGGATATATTTTACTCAAGGCATGACTATATGTGAATCTGTTTCATTTAACCATTATTATTGAGAAATACCACTTTCTTAGAAGTTACAGAGTTAATCTTTTCAAAGATTTATTTAATTGATTTGAGAGGCAATGTTACAGAGAGAGGGGGAGAGACAGAGAAAGAGGTCTTCCATCTGCTGGTTTACTCCCCAAATGGCCACAGTGGCTGGAGCTGAGCTGATCTGAAGCCAAGAGCCAGGAGCTTCTTCCGGGTGTCCCACATGGGTGCCAGGGTCTAAGTACTTGGGCCATCTCCCACTACATTCCAAGGCTGTAGGCAGAGAGCTGGACTGGAAGAGGAGCAGCCAAAACATGAACCAGTACTCATATGGGATCGTGCCACAGGCAGAGGCTTAACCTACTAAGCCACAGCCCTGGCCCCATAGAGTTAATTTGTCTAAATTACATTTTCTGAAGAATTAAGGTATGGAAATGATCATTTTTTTTTTTTTTTTTTTTTTGTGATCATCTATTTAGAATCTTTTCTCCCCTTTCTCTATGTATATTGAGACAACGGTGACTCCATGGTCAGTAAAGTTTGGTTGAGTTTCTAGATGTAAAAAAATAAACATGAAAAAACCAGAGCAGCTTTAAAAATAGTGGCCCATAGAGAATGCCTACAAAGAGTCACCATTGTTTCTAAACTTCTCCCACCCCATTTCCTCCTCTAGGACTCTGGGACAGAGAAGAGTGTTCAGTTTCTATGCCCAGTATTTGTAAGAGAAAAACATTTTGGGTCATAGAGAAAGAGAAAGATACTCCAAAGCAACACGGAACATGCCCTAAAGGATGGCTATATTTTGACTATAAGGTAAACTCCTTTTCAAACTGTTGCTTATATTTATCTCTCATAGATGTTCATTTTGGAAAGTAATCAAAAAGTGGGAATGGCTTTTAGAAAAAGTATGAGTTGTTCATAGGACCTGAAATTTTTTTGTTAGAATTTTCCAGTTAGGAACCAACCTTTGGGAAAAAAAACTTTTTATCAAAAATGCCTTGACACCACCTCTCATTTGTACATACAGTTTTTACCACTGGCACAGTCATTCATTGTACTAGATGAATGTTACACTAGGTATGTGTGGTCATGTGGGGGGGGGGGGGGGTAGGTGGGGACTGGAGGAGAAAGAGAGAGGGAGAGAAAAGGAGAGAGAGAGAGAGAGAGTATATGCATGTTTGGCAATGTACCCAGCTCTGCTCCCAAATGAACTGTAAACTCCAGAGGACCAGACTCCATCTTCTTTTGGGTCTTCCCTGCCTGCAACTCTGCCGACCTGCACGCTGGCAGACTAATGACTTAGCTGGGTCAGTGTCATCTTGAACCTCACAAAGCTGGTTCTTCCATGCAGACAGCAGGGATGTTGTAAACCAGTATTATTAATTATGACTCTACTTCTAGTAAGGCCTAGACTTTTTCCCCACTCTTTATGTTTCATAATAAAATATCATTATAGGCCACAGTAGAAGTAATTAGAATGTATCCCAAATTATAATTGCTTAACTCCTAGAGAATTAAAAAGCTCAGATTGTGTCTTAATTTCCTAGACTAGTATGAAATTGTTCTTCAATTATTGGCAGGCTATTTTCGATTTAAATGTTCAGTTATGCTGGCAGGGCATTCTCTCCTTCTTTGAAATCTTTCTCCCATTGTCAACTTGTGAAATGAAGTCACTTGGATTGAGCACCTTCCATGTGGCACTGATTTTTTAAAATTTTTACTTGTAGTAAAATACACATAGCATAGGATATACCATCTTAAATGGTTTAGGTATAAAGTCCATCAGTGTTAAATACTTTCCCAGTAAATCTCTGAACCCTTTTCAGCTTGCAAAACTGAAAAATCCATAATTACACCATGGAACAAGAGCTGTTTGTTCTTCTCCCTCTCCTGCCCCCCAGCTCCAGGCAAACACTGTTCTGTCCCTATGAATTTTTTTTTTTTTTTTTTGACAGGCAGAGTGGACAGTGAGAGAGAGAGACAGAGAGAAAGGTCTTCCTTTGCCGTTGGTTCACCCTCCAATGGCCGCCGCAGCCAGCGCGCTGCGGCCGGCGCACCACGCTGATCCGATGGCAGGAGCCAGGAGCCAGGTGCTTTTCCTGGTCTCCCATGGGGTGCAGGGCCCAAGCACTTGGGCCATCCTCCACTGCACTCCTTGGCCACAGCAGAGGGCTGGCCTGGAAGAGGGGCAACCGGGACAGAATCCGGCGCCCCGACCGGGACTAGAACCCGGTGTGCCGGCGCCGCTAGGCGGAGGATTAGCCTAGTGAGCCGCGGCGCCGGTCTGTCCCTATGAATTTGACTACTCAGATAATTCCTGTAACGGGAATCATACAGTATATAGCGTTTTGTAACTGCTTTATTTCACTTGACACAACGTCCTCAAGGTTCATCCATGTTGTAGCATGTAGCAGGATTTCCCTCCTTTTAAGACTGAATGACATTTCATTTTATATATTTGCCACATTTTGTTTATCCATTCATCTATCAATGGACATTTTGGTTGCTTCTACCTCTTAGCTGATTTTGCTGAGTGATTTCTTTCTTTCTTTCTTTCTATATTTTATTATTCTTTATCTTTATCTTTTAGCCAGGCAGAGTTAGACAGTGAGAGAGAGGGAGAGGGAGAGAGAGAGGAAGAGAGAGAGACAGAGAGAGAGTTATAGACAGCGAGAGAGAGACAGAGAGAAAGGTCTTCCTTCATTTGGTTCACTCCCCTAATGGCTGCTAGGAGCCGGGTACTTCTCCCAGTCTCCCATGCAGGTGCAGGGACCCAAGCACTTGGACCATCTTCCTCTGCCCTCCCAGGCCACAGCAGAGAGCTGGACTGGAAGAGGAGCAACCGGGACTAGTACCCAATGCCCCAACCGGGACTAGAACCCGGGCTGCCGGCGGCACAGGCGGAACATTAGCCAAGTGAGCCATGGCGCCGGCCGCTGAGTGATTTCATATCTATTTCTTATTTCATTGAATTTTTATATATATAGAATTATCCCGATTTTGTAGAGTAGAAGATCGAGTCTAATAAAATTGTATGAATTTTATGGAAGTTCATAGTAAGTATCAGGTTGAGAAGCAACATCATGTTTCCTATCCCAAAATCTGTCATCTTGTCTCCTCTACACATGCCACTTCATAGAACTTAGGGATTGCTACTCTGAAATGACAAATAGAACAACACTGAGATACTACCACACATCTATTAGAACAGCCAAAATCTGGAACACTGACACCAATTTGGTTGATTGATGGAGGGTAGCAAAAGATACAGCTACTGTGGAAGACAGTTTGAGAGCTTCTTACAAAACTAAACATACTCTTAACATACAATCCAACATTCACACTCCTTGGTGTCTATCCAAAAAAGTTGGAAACTCATGTCCTCATGAAAACCTGCACAAGGATGTTTAGACCAGCTTTATTCATAATTGCCCAAACCTGGAAGCAACCAAGATAGCCTTTAGTAGGTGAGTGGATAAACAATGGCACCTCAGATAGTGAAATATTATTCAATGCTAAAAATAATTCAGCTGTCAAGCTATGAAAAGACATGCAGAAAATTTATATGCATATAAACAAGTGAAAGAAGCCATTCTGAAAATGCTATAATACTGTACAAATCCAGCTTTATGACATTCTGGTAAAGGCAAAACTATGGAGACAGTTACAAGATCAGTGGTTGCCATGGGATGGAGGAAAGAGAGTGACAAGAAGAACACAGAGGTAGCAAAAACACTGTTATGGGTACGACAAAGAGGGACACATGTATGCTTGACCAAACTCATAGAATGTACAACACCAAGCTTGAGCCCTAATGTAAATCATGGTCAAACTGGGTGATTATGATGCATTAATGTAACAAATTTATCGATCTGGTGGGAAGTGTTGATAATGGAAGAAGCTATGAATGTGTGGGGCAGAAAGTATATAGGAAATACCGTTCCTTCCCCTAAAATTTCTCTTAAAAATAGTCTTAGATAATAAAACTCAAGAATTGCCACACTTAGTCCCATGATATGTCAGCCTGGTGGCTGTGTAAGATACTGTCCAGAATAATATCATGATTCCTTAAAACTTTACTATAGTATTGAGATACATGATTTTAAATAGTTGATATTTCCCACTTCCCATTTTCTCAAACTACAAAATCTTTCTACCAGCTGAAAATTAATCTGACACCTCAGTATCAGAAACTTGTAGCTAATACTCAACAAAACTTTGAATACTGCCTTTTATTTAAACCTTTGACAATTAGTTTTTAAAGCTTCTTCATTGTAGTAAATATATACAAAATATGTCACTTTAACCATTATAACACATACAAGTAGGTGGCATTAATTATACGCACAACGTTACACACTCATCATTTCTACTGATATTTCCTAAACTTTTTCATTATCCCAAACAGAAACTCTGTAACCATTAAAAAAACTTCCTATTCCCCCTCACCAGGTTCTGGTAACTTCTAATTTATTTTCCATCTCTATGAAGGCACCTATTCTAGATGTTTCATATAAAGAGAGAAGAAAATGAGTATTGTTCTTCTCTCTGGCCTCTCACGTTTAGCATGATTTCAAGGTTCACCCATGTTTTAGAATTATCAAAACTCCATTCATTTTCATAACAAAATAATCCTCAATTATATATGTTTATTCTTTCATTTCTTGATGGACACTTGGGTAGTTTCCATCTTCTGACTATTGTGAATAAAATGCTGCAATGAACATTGACGTAAATCTCGATTAGAGTCTCTGTCTTCAGTTCTTTGGGGGAAAATATCTAGGAGTAGAATTGCTGGATCATATGATAATTCTATGTTTCACTTTTTGAGGAATTGACAAATGATTTTACACACAACAAAACTGCTTTACAATCCTACCAGCAGCATATGAGGGTTTCAGTGTATCAGAGAAAGGGTTGTCTCTGTTCACCCCTCCCCTATGTTGAATCTCAATATCCAACATAGTTACATGAATGAATGAATAAACTGTGTGTTTGAAACCTCAGATAGTACCAAACCCTAACTATAGTATGCTTTTCCCTATATATGTGCTTATGATAATGTTTAGTTTATAATTTAGCACAGTAAGAGATTAGCAACAAAAACTAATAATAAAATTGAATAGTTATACTAATATACTGTCATAAAATTTATGTTAAGGTGCTTGCTTCTTCCTCTTTCAAAACATCTCATTGCACTGTAATCACCCTTCCTACTGGCTAAAAAACAAACTGCTGAAAGTCAAAGCCAGATGAGGAGGGCTCATTCTAATGGATTCATCAGGTTATTAGAAAAGTTGGCAACAGAAAGGTCAATGGCTGAGAGGAGCAGCGAACCCTGAGCGGATGGTTTTCCTCCACTAGCACATAAAGCTACAGAAGGAAAAGCAGGAGATAAAAACCAAAGACCTAATTTCACAATTCTCAATGAGTCTCAATATTATGTCCCATTACATTTTGCTCCCTCTTTATTAATTTCCTAGTACTAATTTTTATAGTTATTTCTAAGCAAAACAAATTAACCTTTTAAGAGTTTTAAAATCCAAGTAGGGGAGCCGGCGCCGTGGCTCAATAGGCTAATCCTCCACCTTGCGGCGCCGGCACACCGGGTTCTAGTCCCGGTTGGGGCGCCGGATTCTGTCCCGGTTGCCCCTCTTCCAGGCCAGCTCTCTGCTATGGCCAGGGAGTGCAGTGGAGGATGGCCCAGGTGCTTGGGCCCTGCACCCCATGGGAGACCAGGAAAAGCACCTGGCTCCTGGCTCCTGCCAGGATCAGCGCGGTGCGCCGGCTGCAGCGGCGGCCATTGGAGGGTGAACCAACGGCAAAAGGAAGACCTTTCTCTCTCTGTCTCTCTCTCTCACTGTCCACTCTGCCTGTCATTAACCTTTTAAGAGTTTTAAAATCCAAGTAGGGGCCAGTGCTGTAGTGGGTAAAGCCACTGCCTATGGTGCCGGAATCCCATGTGGGTGCCAGTTCGAATCCTGGCTGCTCCACTTCCAGTCCAGCTCTCTGTTATGTCCTGGGAAAACAGTAGAAGATAGCCCAAGCCCTTGAGCCTCTGCACCTGCACGGGAGACTCCTGGCTTCAGATTGGCCCAGCTCTGGCGTTGCAGCCATTTGGAGAGTGGACCATCAGATGAAAGACCTCTCTCTGTCTCTGCTTTTGCCTCTCTGTAACTCTGTCCTTCGAATGAATAAATAAATCTTTTTTTAAAAAAAATCCAAGGATATGTCAAAGTTAAACCTATTTCCTTAGGTCTCATAAATAATTTTCTCCATGCTTGATGATAGGGAAGAGGCTTGACCATGGTTTTCTCAAGGAATACCGAGTCTTCTAAGATATTTGTCCTAGCAGACCTGTGGAAGACAGTCTCTGGGCTTGTGTGCATGTGTATGTGATTAACACTCGAGCTTCCACTTACAAAGTTTTATTCAAGAACTTGATTGAATGCCACTGGCGGCCTTGCACCATCTGGTTTGGAATTATCCAACATTTTATTTTATGCACAACATAACTTTTCCTAAAAAACTCTTCTGTTTGGAATTTAGTCTGATCTTAGCACTGTATTCATCCATTCATTAAACTATGTTGAAAACTGAGAATTCAGTGGTGGGAGAAAATGGACACAATCCTTTCCTTTTTGGAACTTATAGACTTAGCTTACAGACTTTGGAGCTTACAGGAGAGCAAACAGCAGTAAATCAGTCAGGAAAATAACTGCACAACTTAAAACTGTGATGTATGAGATAAAGAAAAAAATCATACAATTCTGTAAAAGTGTGTTAACAGGAGAACCTTGATTTAGATGGTGAGAAGGGCTGGGATCATTAAAAGTAGGGGAGCAGCATGTGCTAAAGTCTGTTTTGAGAGGTAATAATGATATTTAAGAAACTAAAGGAAGCATGGAGAGTCAGAATAATGAAAAGTAAGACAAAAGAAGCTAGAATGGTATCATGGTAGAGTTTCTGGTTTTTATCCTAAGAGCAATGGAAAACCCATGATGGGTTTTAAGGTGAAGAGTGACATGACCAGCCGGCACCGTGGTTCACTTGGCTAATCCTCTGCCTGCGGCACCGGCACCCCGGGTTCTAGTCCCGATTGGGGCGCTGGATTCTATCCTGGTTGCCCCTCTTCCAGTCCAGCTCTCTGCTGTGGCCCAGAAAGGCAGTGGAGAATGACCCAAGTGCTTGGGCCCTGCACCCGCATGGGAGACTGGAAGGAAGTACCCGGCTCCTGGCTTCAGATCTGCGTAGTGCCAGCCCTAGCGGCCATTAGGGGAGTTAACCAATGGAAGAAAGACCTTTCTCTCTGTCTCTCTCTCACTGTCTATAACTCTCTCTCTGTCTCTCTCTCTCTCTGTGTCTTTCTCTCTCTCTCTCTCACTGTCTAACGCTGCCTGGCAAAAAATAAAAAAAAGAAAGAAAAAGAAAAAGAGTGACATGACCATGACCAAATTTTGAAAAGCATCACTCTAATTTTGGTTTTAAGAACATATTGAGGCTGGCGCTGCGGCTCACTAGGCTAATCCTCTGCCTGCGGTGCCAGCACCCCGGGGTTCTTGTCCCGGTTGGGGTGCCATATTCTGTCCCGGTTGCTCCTCTTCCAGTCCAGCTCTCTGCTGTGGCCTGGAAAGGCAGTGGAGGATGGCCCAAGTGCTTGGGCCCTGCACCTGCATGGGAGACCAGGGGGAAGCACCTGCTCCTGGCTTCGGATTGGTGTAGTGCGCCGGCCGTAGCAGCCATTTGGGGGGGTGAACCAATGGAAGGAAGACCTTTCTCTCTGTCTCTCTCTCTCTCACTAACTCTGTCAAAAAAAAAAAAACATATTGAAGGAAGGCAAGGGTGAGAGCTGTTAGGAATCTATTACAGCAGTCAAGGAAGAGATTAGTGACTTGGACTAAGATGGTAGTGGCAGAGAACTTGGGGCAGTGGTCTAGGGGGAGTAAGGAGGTGCTCTTTGAGAAATTGGATGTCCAGATGGTGGAGCTGCAAGGTGGACAGAGTAGAAGGGTGAGGTTGCCTCCCAGGTTTCAGGCTTGTGTCACTGTGTGCTGATGGTGGCCATTCAATATCCGGAGAATTCTGGGAAAGGACTAAGCTTGAAGGGAAGATCATGAAACCTACTTTCAAGTGTAGACCTAGAAATGACAAGAGGAATTTTATATTCAAAGCTTGTTTGGAGTACAGTAGGCCTCCTTAATTCACAGTAATAATTAGAGATGCATTATACTTAATCACATTTTGTAAATTACTAAGTAAATAAGCAAGTTAAAATTAAGGATGCTATACTTCATCTTGCTAACTTCGCTTTAATTATTAATGACACCATTTAAGAGTGTGTTTGTAAACATGTGATATTTTTAGAAACAATGTAGTTGTAAAAATGGCAGTCCACACTTTCATCTTGTCAAGCTAGTAAGTCTTGGCTGAGGCAAACATGTTGCAAGAGCAGGAGACAGAGTGTTTTTCTGGGTTTATTGAGGTAGCTGAACCAATAAGGTTCATTGGTATTTATGAATGGTTCATTAGTGTGACTATCTGAACACAAGGTGAATTCACATTAAATGATAAGACTTCCTAATAATTAGTATGCGCCACTCTTTGGAGTTTGTAATTAGAGAAAAAAGGCAAAATGAAAAGAATTAGATAAAAGGATAGTTGTTATAAAATTAAACTCCTTTAAAGCAAATTTGGTTTCTTTGTGAAACAAACAAGGCAAAGAGGACCAGACAAATGGAAAATGTTATTTCCTTTCTTACTTGGTAACTCTACTTCAAGCTATATCAGGGTTTCTGGTTTTCACGCTACGAGCAATTGAAAACCCCCAGAGGGTTCAACTAAAGAACATTATGAGCAGGACTGAGTTTTGAACAGACTTACTTCAGCACTATTAATAGCTGGATAATTCTTTGCTGTGGGGACATGATCTGACCTGTACAGCATAAAACGTTCAATAGCATCCCTGGTCTTTATTTGCTAGAGACCCTACCATTGTAACAACCAAAATTATCTCCAGAAAAAGTGTCAAAATATACCCACAAGTGGCAAAATTGCTTATCTGAGAACAAATGGGCTAAATCTAGATTGCCTGAGTATGTTATTTGACAACCATTTTAGGATCCATTGGCTTTTATTTTGTTCCATAAATGTTTATTGGGGACTTTATGTGGTGTGATGTTCAAAGACTTAGTCTCTCTGCTTTTAAGGGACATATGATGGTGAAGAAGAGGTTGGAACTAACGAATTCATAAATTAGAGAATGATGGAGAAGGATATCATCCCAAAATAAGACAGGGAAGGATGACCTAGAATTATTCTGTAGCTGAGATTCTCTCCATGGCAAGATCTTGAGATCTGACCTATTAATGACTAGGGCTGTCCTTGTTCAATAAGAGACTTGAGTGTGAGAGGAAACCCCAGCAAATTCCAGGTGAATTTCCTTTGCATAAAGTCTCTCTTGACTTCTCTGGAACTTTTCCTGATCTGTTATCACCTTTCTCTTCTATCTCTGCCTCTTGCCTAATTCCTTATGGTCCTACTGACACATTTTAATTTCACTGAGCTTTAAGGCTGGGGCAAAAAAAAAAAAAAAAAAAAAAACAAACACATAGCTTCAACTCTGCTTGCTCTGCCTAGTATGGATCATTGAATTTCTCATCCTATCCCATAATAAAGAAATCTCTGCTTTGTTGTTATTCTCTCTTCAGTAACAGTCAACTCTTACCGCCCAATCCCACAGCCTTTCTTTGTGTGTGAGTTTAGCACTGATGGTTGACCTCCCCTTTCATTTCTCCTCCTTTCCAGATTTCCTTGGTCCTGCTCTTGCTTCTTCTCCCACTGGGCTCCTTGTTTCTTTTCTGCTCTTCCCAGCAGACTTAGTGGCTAAATGGCTGACTCCAAATAGTTAGTGAATTTAATTACCTGGTGTGATTTGATTTCCCAGTATTCCTCTCACACCTAAAGTGAGGAAGTATGTTTGTAAATAAAATCAAATGAAGCTGCTCAACGCACCCCCCAGAATTGTTGTCTAGATTAGATCTTCCATTGTGAACACTGCAATCAGACTGGCAAGAATACTACTTTTCTTTGAGCAGAAGATATTATTCTGACATTGCACATGGCGAAACGCATCCTCCTTTTCTGCCTCATGCAAATGTAGGCAGGTCACTGCCTACCCTGAAACCTGCTCCTCTTTGTCTCATTTTAATGTCTTTAGTGCTGCTGTAAGAAAAATGAGTTCTTTCTGCCCAAGAAAAGCATGAAGTATGTTCAAGGCCGATCCCCAGTGTCTTTGGGAAACTTTTAATTCATTCAGGAAAATATGAAGTGAACACTCTGCTTTGACATTTTTTTATAGTGCCTTTTGGTGAATGTCCCCAAAGACCCAAGCAACTGGAAGAACTGGACACAGGCTCGAGATTTCTGTTTTGATGAAGGAGGGACACTGGTCGCCATTGAAAGTGAAGTGGAGCAAGGTAGAGAACTCAGTGTTCAACCAGGCCAAGATAACCACTTTTATTCTAAAGTAGCTATTAAAATATTCCAAAAAGTTCTGACATTTTCACATCAACCTTTAAAAAACTGTATTTTTGATGACACAAATTTTATCCCAAATTTTCAGTTTGATCTAGAAGGTTTTATGTCATGATATCTTAAAAACATAAAGCATTGATGATAAACTCTGAACTTCAAAGTCTTTTGTTTCACCAGTAATACTAAAAAGGTGACATATTTATGGTCTGTATTTTGAAATGACTAAAATAATCTCAGGTATAGACTACTATAATTGCATGGTATATTTTTAGATCTCTTTAGATTTATTTTACATATTTATTTATTATTTAGACAACTATATACCTTACTTTAAATGTAGGAGGTACCTCTTTTTTGTTGAGGGAGGCATTGACTGAATACTGGAAATTGTTTTGTTAATGATGTGATGAAGTCTCAAGTTATCTAGCTAATTTCTCTCTATTTAAACTGAAACAAAAGGGAAAGAAACTGCATCACCTTAACAAAGACATACTCAATTCCCACAATTGATTCATAATTAAGTTTTGTTATCATTTAAATACAATCATAGCTATAAACAAAATTCAATGATTACTCAACTAGTTTATATGTAGTAAATTAGATAATGGATTCGTCTTTTTCAGCTTTCATTACCATGAATCTTTTTGGCCAGACTACTAATGTGTGGATAGGGTTACAAAATGATGATTATGAAAAATGGCTAAATGGAAATCCTGTGGCATATTCTAACTGGTCTCCGTCTGATATAATAAATGTAAGTTTACAGGTTTACTTTTCAAAATCATTTTAACAAGAGATTTCATTCAATATTTGTTTACTAGGCATTTTTTATTTCCTATATTTTGTAGGCATAGATTTATATTTCTTTGATAGCAATATATTAATTTTTAATAATGTAATTTCATCTGTTCATGTGTTCCATAAATATAATTACTTTACTCATCACAGTAATTGTTTACTTTGTAGGTTATAAAGTGATTTGTGAAGTTTATTAAATACAAATAAAGGAATGAGGATGTTTTAATTTGAAAAATTATATCCTTAGTAAAAACTTCAATGTTATAATAATGTTATATGTTCCTTTATTTTTGATAACATGTGTTTTTTAAAGATTCCAAGTTACAACACCACTGCAGATCAAAAACCCATCCCTCTTTGTGCCTTGCTGTCAAGTAATCCTAACTTTCATTTCACTGGAAAATGGTATTTTGAAGACTGTGGGAAAGAAGGCTATGGGTTTGTTTGTGAAAAAATACAGGGTAAGAACTGTTTGGTTTTTTTTTTAAGATTTTTTTTTTTTTTTGAAAGTCAGAGTTACACAGAGAGAGAAAGAGACAGACAGGGAGAGAGAGATTCTATCCACTGGTTCACTCCCTAAATGGCTGCAACAGCCAGGGTAGGCCAGGCCAAGGCCAGGAGTCTGGAGCTTCCTCCGGATCTCCCATGTGGGTGCAGGGGCCGAAACACCTGGGCCATCTTCCGATGCTTTCCCAGGCACATCAGCAGAGCTGGATCAGAAGTGGAACAGCCAGGTCCTGAATCAGCGCCCACAGGGGATGCTGAAGTCACAGACAGCAGCTCTACTCTCTACGAGCCAACACCGGCCCCAGTATTTGGTTTTTTTATTCCTTTCATTTCCATGGCTCATCCCTCTCTTTCATATTTGTTATGCACCACATAAAGCTAACAGCTTCACAGTTTGCAGTGTGAGCCTCTCACTCTGACTTTACATGTATTGATTCACTTATTCTCCTCTACCAAAGACTATGTCCTTCCAAGGGCTCAAAAGACTGCAGAACCCATTGAGTGATGACTAAGTTTATATATCCAGCTTAGTCACGTTTAGTCAAATTCTGCTTTGTTCTGAGATTATGTGCCTATTCGGGTTTTTCTTTTGTGTGTGTGTGTGTGTATGTGTGTCTTTGTTGTTGTTGTTGTTAAATCACATAGAAAATATTGTAGAAGGATCTGGGAAATAAACCAAGTCATAAATGCTCCTTTCTTGGAACTCTAAAAAAGATCTCTGTGGCTAAAGATGGGATGCTGAGAACACCCCCTTAAAGGATTCTGGTATGAAATACAAATGCCATTCTATCACAAACAGCCAATGGAGTGAAGCAGAAGTGCAATGCATGCTAAGTGACATTAAGTAATAAAACAACCACCACAGCTTATGCTTTTACTGAGTGCTAAGCATCTTGGCACCATACCACCACAGAAGACCAAGATTTGTCTCTGGAACTGCATGGAACTGAGCAGCCCAAACAGGAATACAGATGCTGATCTGGAGCATGACTTATACTCCTTAGTATTACACCCATGTGAACTCTTTCCTGATACTAAGTGGGGCCAACACCATGGTGCAGCAGGTTGGGCCACTGTTTGTAACGCCCGTATCCCAGGATCAGAAAGTTTGAGTTCTGTATGCTCTGCTTTTTATCCAGCTCGTAGCTAATGTGCTAGGTAAGCAGAAGATGATGACCCAAATGCTTGGGTGCCTGCCACCCATGTTGGGAGACCTGGATGAAGCTCCTGGCTCCTGGATTTGGCCTGGCCCACCCCTGGTTGCTGTGGTCATTCGGGGAGTAAACCAGCAAATGGAATATCCCACTATGTGTGTGTCCCTCCATCACTCCCTGTCTCTCTGCCTTTCAAATAAATTATATTTTTAAACTTTTATTTAATTTGATGTATTTACTTGAGAGAGTGACAGAGAAAGAGAGACAGAGACAGAGAGACAGAGAGGAGAGAGAGAAAGAAAAAAGGTCTTCTATCCACTGGTTCACTCCACAGATGGCCACAACAGCCCGAAGCCAGGAACCAGGAGCTTCTGGATCTGCCATGTGGGTGCAGGGGCCCAGGCTCTTTGGCTATCTTCCACTGCTTTCCCAGGCCATAGCAGAGAGAGGGATTGGAAGAGGAGCAGCGGGGCATGAACTATCCCCCATATGGGAGACCAGCATCACAGGTAGAGGCTTAGCTTACTATGCCACAGTGCTGGCCCCATAAATAATATTTTTAATGATACTAAGTATCAAACCATACTCTGAAAAGCAGTTCCAGAGAAAGTTATTACTTGAGCATAATGGTCAGGAACTGAAATAAAAAAGTAAATCTGTAATAGCAAGAGAAATACAGTAAATGTTAAGCTTGCTAGAAAAAGCACTGTTGTCAGTAGACTATGTACTTAGGTGGTCATGATGTGCCTGGCATTGTGACTTGGCTTTATGAGCATTATGCCATAAAATTTTCATGATAATTTGTGAAGTAGGTAAAAGTCTCCCCATTTTACAGCTGAGAAGCTTGAGGCTTAGGAAAAGTAAGTAATACATTCAAGATCTCAGTTAAATACAATGATTTTATTCTGCTTCCTTGATATGGGTTTTTTGTTGGAATCTACCCTTGGATCATTTTCTCTCTTTGGTATTTTTAGGACTTCCCATGTTGATGTTCTTTGGCAATAGTATAGAGTACGTGGAGTTGAGGAGTTAGGACATGGAGGGCCCACCCCAGATGGATTCCCATCCCACCCTAAATAAGTTTTAGTCAAGGGACTTATCTTCCATGAGCTTTGATTTTTGCATCTTTAACATGGTGTAACTATCTTGGATGCTTTGTATAAATGCTTAGCATAGTTCCTACCATATGTTGAACAAATGATGGAATTTTTAATTATTGTTGCTTGTGAAAACAACTTGTGGCCTGAGTGAATGCTCAAGTTCTGATCCTCTTCTGTTTTTAAATAAATATGTGCTTACGTGCACAAAGAATATCAATTACTTTAATTATACTAATTGCTATTACTTTTAAATATTTACTTTGATATTATATTGATTTTGCATGAATTACTGGGGACAAGGCACATAGACTGGCAAACAGACTTCTAACAATGACTAAATTGATAATAAAAGTATGAACCATCACAATTTAATTGCCAAATATATTAATTTCCCTTTGGTTTTATAATATATGTTACTGCTATATGAAGGTAACAGTCTTGAGTAAAAGTTAAATTCTAACTTCACCATTTTTACTGGGGGGAGTATAACCAGAGGAGGAGAAAGAAGCAAGCAGCAAAATTTATTGAGCACCTGCTATATCCCAAATATAATAGAATGCACCCTGTGTAGATATCTCATTGACTTCTACCCACCTTTAAGGGAAGCTGATCAACCTCTTCTAGAACAGAAATTTGATATTTAGAAAGATTAATTTGTCTGAATCTCCTTGCCAGTTAAGGCCAGGAATTGGATTAAGTCCAGGTGTTTGCATCTAGCCACACTTCACTATTGTCCTCTCCAACCCCAACTGTAATTAAACTAGTACATGGAGAGAAATTTAAGTTACTTTGGACCAAAGTATGGAAACTTGTGTTAGATCTTCTGAACTTAGGCTATCCTGGTACACAACATAATACAAAACAAAGAAGCAAAGGTACATATTAAAGAGGACATATTAGGATATAAGACACAGGCTAGATTAGAATGAACAAGAAGCACCAATGACCATATGTGCCTTTTAACCTATAAATTTTTAAAAATTTTTATTTATTTTATTTGAAATTACAGAGAGGCAGAGAGAGAGAGAGAGAGAGAGAGAGAGAGAGAGGTCTCCCATCTGCTGGTTCACTCCCCAGATGGTCGCAATAGCTGGAGCTGTGCCGATTCAAAGCCACAAACCAGGAGTTTCTTCCAGGTCTCTCATGCAGGTACAGGGGCCCAAGGACTTGGGCCATCCTCTACTGCTTTCCCAGGCCATAGCAGAGAGCTGAATCAGAAGTGGAGCAGTCAGGATTCAAACCAGTGCCCATATGGGATGCTGGCGCTTCAGGTCGCAGCTTTACTCACTAGGGCACTCTGACAATTTATCTATTAATAGTATCTACTTATATGAATTTTGTGTATTTCTAAGTATTTACTAACCTAATTTTAAAAAATCCTTTTATAATTTGTACATATAAACATTAAACATAATAGTGACTATCATATTCTCAAAAGTATAGTCAAGCATTTTATCTGAGAATATGTACTTGCAAAACTGGGGTGAGTATTTGGCCTGGCCATTAAGATGTCTGTATCTCACATCAGAGTACCTGAGTTTGAGTCCTGGCTCTGGCTCCTGATTACAGCCTTCTGCTGATGGAGTCCCTGGGAGGCAGCCATGATGGGCTCCTGCCACCATGTGAGAGGCCTGGATTGATTTCCTGCCTCCCAGCTTTGGCCTTAGCCCAGCCTCAGCCATTATGAGCATTTGGGAAGTGAACCATCAGATGCGTATGCCCTCTTCCTCTCCCCCTCCTCCTCCCTTTTTCTCCCTCCTTCAAATAAATACTTAAAAATTTTTAACAAAATAAAATTAGATTTCTAATGTAGTATGTGATTACATAATGACTCAGCAGTCTATTAACAAGAATTCAGTTCTCCCTGAGCAGTGCGTTAGGGACAGTGTAGCTAGTAAGGATATTATCATCATTTCCACCCAAAAGTGATCAGTCTGATAAAGGATGGTCAAAATGGGAAGTCTTTTAGAAGTGGTCCAATCTATGTTTATGTTTTTGAAGAAACACCTTCATTAAATTTTCCAAAAGTGTTTTAATTTATTAGCATCACCTATACTTTCAGGTAGTGTTCTCATTCTGAAATAGTCAATTTGGAAAGAAAAACTCTGATCAGTATGGATCCATGCTAAATTTTGCCTCTTCCTTTCTCATCTAGACGCTACAAATGACTTTTGTTGTATTTTCGTTTTAGATTCTGCTGGACATGAAGTAAACACATCTATCATGGATCCGATCCCCAATACCTTAGAATATGGAAACAGAACTTACAAAATAATCAATGCAAATATGACTTGGTATGCAGCAATAAAATCCTGCCAATTGCACGGAGCAGAACTGGTCAGCATTACAGACCAGTATCACCAGTCCTTCCTCACTGTTATCCTCAGCCGGCTAGGACACGCCCACTGGATTGGATTGTTCACTGCAGATGTAGGTGTTCTTTTTTTTTTTTTTTTTTTTTGACAGGCAGAGTGGACAGTGAGAGAGAGACAGAGAGAGAAAGGTCTTCCTTTTGCCGTTGGATCACCCTCCAATGGCCGCGGCTGCAGCCGGCGCACCGCGCTGATCTGATGGCAGGAGCCAGGAGCCAGGTGCTTTTCCTGGTCTCCCATGGGGTGCAGGGCCCAAGCACCTGGGCCATCCTCCACTGCACTCCCTGGCCATAGCAGAGAGCTGGCCTGGAAGAGGGGCAACCGGGACAGAATCCGGCGCCCCAACCAGGACTAGAACCCGGTGTGCCGGCGCCGCAAGGTGGAGGATTAGCCTAGTGAGCCACGGTGCCGGCTAGAGATGTAGGTGTTCTAAGACCCTTGGACATCTTTGTGTTTCATGTCTACCTCTTTAGTGACATCACATCTAAAATTAGCACAGGAAGAAAAAGTCCCAGAAATAATAGTAAATGTAACATGGAAGTAATTGGTTGATACAATAACTACTGATCAACTCTATGAGAAGCCTATGGCTATGACATAGGGATGTACACCTTTTTAGGATAAATTTCCACTAGCCTAATTCCTGGAAATACCTTTGAAAGGTTCCCTGAAATTTTCTGAGCACCCTCCCCCAGATCCTGCCTCATGTGTGCCCTGTAACACATCTTAAACTGAAGCACTGTGTTTGAGTAATCTGTTGCACTTAAAGAATTCTCCAAGAAAAAGTAATCATACTTCCTGCTTAGAAATTTAACTATTCATTAATTCAATACTCCTTAAAATTTAACACATGGTGTTCTCCCCTTCTCCCCACTCTGGAGATGTGATAGAGAGAATAGTGTTTTTTTTTTTAAATGAAAGTATTACACACTCAAAGTAGTGAGATGTAAACTCTGTTCTATCCCAAACCCTGGTTCTACTCCCCAGTGTGTAAACAGTTTCTTGGTATCTAGAAATTCTCTACATATACACATTTATATACAGATGATGAATGAATGTTATATAGTTTTTAAACACAAAGGAGATCATACTATATATTGCCCTTAAACTTGCCTTTTGATTTAATATATCCTTTACAGCTTTCAATGTCAGCACATAAAATCTCACACATTCTTTAGAACAGCCACATAGTAGGATATACTCCTGCTTATTAAACCCTTCTCCTGTGAAGAGACATTTAGGTTCTCAGTGTTTCATGGTTACAAACAAGGTACCACAAATATCTTTGTGCAAATAGGACATTCCCAAAAGTGAAACTATTGAGCACACTTGAAATTTTAACAACTATTGACAAATTGCCCTTCAAATGTTTGTATCAATTTATATGCAAACAACACAATAATGAGAGCATCTAGATTTTTCACATCCTTGCCAACACTGAGTATTATCAAAATTTTGCTTGTGAGATGGATGAAAGAATGCTATTTTATGATTGTTTATTTTATTTTCCTATTACAGAATGCTTTAACTTCAGTCGGCTTGGCTTTAGGCCTTTGAATTTTGGCATATAAAACATTTTAGCCAAGTTTCCTTTGATACTTACATGTTTCAATGTTATATTTGGTCAATTCGAAATTTACATTGGTGTAAAAAGCAAAATATTGACCCCACTTCCCTAGGACTACTTACTGGGAAATTATGATAACAAGAAGCCAAGAATTCCTTTTTAAAAAGGATATTTTTTGTGGCATATACTCCAATTTTTCAGGAAATATCCACAAACCATCAAGACCTCCTGAATAAGGGGGTGGAAATATAAATCTGTGTGGGAAATGTGAGATGCACACACAGCATGGGGTCAAGCCGCCAGCACTCTTGCAAGGAAATGATGGCTCAATTTCCCTCCACAGAATGGTCTTCATTTTGACTGGTCAGATGGCACCAAATCCTCTTTTACCTTTTGGAAAGATGAGGACTCTTCCTTCCTTGGTGACTGTGTTTTTGCTGACACCAGTGGACGCTGGCATAGTACAGCCTGCGAGTCATTTCTGCAAGGTGCCATTTGTCATGTGCCCACTGGTAGGTTCAGTTCCATTCAATTCAGGAAATACATCCTGTGAAGTTACTGCATACAAGGCAATATACTAGGCCAGGGTGTGAGCCTGAATAGTAACAAGTCTCTACTCTGAGAAAGCCTCTGGTCTGGTTGGTGATGTAAAGATCAATAACTGTTATACCAAGCAGGGCTACCAAATGATCTAAGGGAGGTAGCAAGTATTGAAGGGGTTATCAAGGAAAAGAATGTAGCATATCCGTTTGGAGTAAAGTACAAAGGCCTCTTTTAAAAACAAAAAAGGATATATTTATTTATTGGAAAGTCAGAGAGAGAGAGACCTTCCATCTGCTGGTTCACTCCCCAAATGGCTGCAATGGCCAGACCTGGGGTACGGGCCAAAGCCAGGAGCCTCTCCCAGGTCTTCCATGTGGTTACAGGGGCCCAAACACTTGGGCCATCCTCACTGCTTTCCCAGGTGCATTAGCAGGGAGTTGGATTGGAAGTGGAGGAGCCAGGACTTGAAGCAGCACCCATATGGGATGCTGGCACTGCGGGCAGAGGCTTAACTTTCTATGCCACAGCACTGGCCCATGCAAAGGCCTCTTGAAGGATGCAACATTGAAGATGGGCCTTGAAGAATGAGTTGGATGTAAATGGGCAGCAATAGGACAGAAACAGGCCTTCAGATGAGAAAAGCTGGGACAAAGCCACAGAAAGAAGGCAGAACTGGGCATGTGTGGGACAAAGCTGGTGCTGAGATTTGCCTGCATCACAGATGAGAAATCAAACTAGCAACATAGGTAAGGAGTATGTGTGGAAGACCTTGACGGAGAATTTATGTTTAAATCAAAGATTAACAGGATTCCAGGGCCATGGATAATCATAGCTGACACTGTTTGGATATTTGCTATATGTCAGGCCCTTCATTTTGCATAATACTCCTATCTTCTTTATACTTACAGTTCACCGAGCCCAATCATCCCTTTATTAAAAACTAAAACTCAGAGCATTAACAGTTTCCTGAGGATCTCACAGCTCTGTCAACAGTATGAGGATGGGAAGCCAGGTCCCCTCCCTCGCTGATGCGGTTTACCCCATTTCATCAGGCCCCCTTTCCCTAACCTGCTATCATGTGCTTGACAACAGTTCCCTAACTCTAGCTGATCTCCTCTTAAATCTCTCTTTCAGTAAAAGTGCATGTGTTTACCTCCATTCTGAGTATTATGTCAAATAGCATACACATTAGGTAACCAGATCAAAACAATTTAGGAATAAACATAAATGATAGCCATATATATAAGAAAAGCTAGTTCTGCTTCTAAAATACCATGAGAGCTCTCCTTTCGTTTTTGATAGCAGTGCATTTATTGAGTGCTTAAGAATCGTCAGGACCTAACTCATTTAAAACATCTCAACATCTATCTTTTAGAGATAGGAATGCAAGTGGAGGGTACCATGCCAGGGCACGTAGCCAAGAAGTAGAAAGGATCTCAGCCTGGGTGTGTCTGACTCTTACACACTTGCTCTGTGAAGTAAGTTCCCTCCCCAATTTTCCTTATTCACATTACCTTGTGATACTTTGTTGAATGCATTATTTTATCTCAGAAGTTTATTAGCAGATAAGGGTTTTTTAAAAATCTGTGATATTCAGCATTGCACAGAACACATTTTATACATTTGGAGTTCCCCTTTGCTATCATCATTTGCTGCCACTCTTTCTCTGAATCCCTAAATGACATCCTCTAGGATACTCATTGCAAACATGAGAAAAGCCACCCTCACCAGGCAGCACTCAAACTAAACCTACAAAGCTATGGATTAATATACCCTGTTATGTTATGTAAAGATTACTTCTGCCAGAAATTCTATCAACTGATCCCAGTTTTGTAATCATTTACATTAAACCCAATCTTTCAGAGTATTACCATGAAAATCTTATTACATATATTTATCTTCGTCTTTCATGGAATTCAATGTAACATTTATCTCAATAAATGACTCAGTCACCACCCTGAAATTATAATGGGTTTTTCTTTATAGAAACAAGACCATTTGAACACCCAGAGCTGTGTTCAGAAACATCTATTCCCTGGATAAAATTTAAAAGTAATTGCTACAGTTTTTCTACAGTCCTGCACAGTGCGAGTTTTGAGGCTGCTCATGAATTTTGCAAAAAGGAAGGTAATTCTTATGTGATGGTAAAATGTTTTCATGTACTATCTCTTGACATTTCAGTAAACAATGTGTTTTTTTCATTTGTCTGATTATTTAGTGACTTTAGGAGAAACAAAAAGTACAGAAAAAGCAAACACTATTGAATCGCTTCTTTAGGGGGCAATTAATGTATGAAACTCAAGTCCAATGTAGAACTTGAGAATAGAAGATATTGTCTCAGCACACTGGACTTTCCCAAGAAAATGTTGCTTTTTGAATGCAGCTGCATTATGAATATTTAATGTTCCTTAAAGTTAATATTCTATGTTTTACCTTCCTAAGTGAAGACTTGTGTCCTTTAATAAAATTGGTTTTACTTTAAAATTTTTAATCAAAATTATGTATTAATAATTGATATTTTTACCTTTCAAAGCCTGAGCTTTACAAATAATGGCATAGGAGATACTTTATAAATTATATTTATATATAAATACAAATATTTATTCATCCTCCACTTGTCTCTTTTATAGGATCAAATCTTTTAACAATCAAGGATGAAGCTGAAAATTCATTTCTCCTAGAAGAGCTTTTTGCTTTTGGTGCTTCTGTCCAGATGGTCTGGTTGAATGCTCAGTTCGATAGTAAGTGATTTGGGTGAGAAGAGGAGAGGCTATAAATAAATATAGTTGTTAAGGTTTGTGATAATGGCATCTGTGAGCTAGAAAATTCTCCTTGGGTACATTTGCTGTGGACACATGGGGCAGGGAAGCATGAATCCTAAAGCCATTTCTTCCAAAAATAACATTTACTACCCTTTTCCATACACTCATATCCTTTACAATAATCCCAGAATACCAACAATTAAAACAAACAACAACAACTTGTCCTTAACCTTATTGTGAAGATGCTTGGCTGGACCTTTGTCGATAAGATTTATTCCAAAGATACCCAAACCATATTGTCTTGAAAATACCCCAGGTTCCTAAATGTTAGAAAATGGAACAATAGAATTACAGAAATGTTTCAGTGATAAACAATGCTGTTAGAATTATCGTTTGCTATTCATCAAAATCAGAGTGTAATGCAATGGAAGCAGGCTATTCTTTTCATTATTTAATTGATGGTTATCGAAAAGTACTTGTAAAGAAAATTATTTTCATTAGTATGAGGAGCTCGTTACAGTGGTGTACCAAGGTGGGCAGAGAACCTACCCTTTTGAGGAGGTGTATTTAAATCCCTGACATTGTGTAGAATTTCTAGCAGATGGAACTAATAAAAAGCAGATGGATTTTTAGTTACTTTTATTGTTAGTTTTAAAATTCTTTCCAGACAATGCAACCCATTACCTACATAGGGCATGTGCTTTCCCACTGTCTCTACACGGTGGGTTCATGACAGGCATGCTATTTAAGAAACTCAGTGTAAATTCCTTTAGAAAATGAGAATCTTGTAATGATATGGATGTTAGAACTTCAAAGATCTTTCATTATCTTGGGTAGTTTAGCTTATTGAAAAATTCCTTAAATTGATTATAAACAATACGAATATTCCGAAATTCAAACTGTTTCATTATGAAAGATGATTTCCTAAGAGAACTAAATTAGAACACTCTCTGTAAAGTAAATGAGAGACTGTTTTAAAGGCAACATTATTAATACCTACTTTTTATGCTGAGTTCATAATTCTGTTTGCAGAGTTAAATACAACAGGTAAACAGAAATTCTCACTAAATTCAGAGGCTGCTTTTTATGCCTCATTCCAGTCTTGGAATGCTTGATAACCGTGTACAGGATTCCTAATCAATCAGCATTTTTTTTTTCCACAGATGAAACAGTCAAGTGGCTTGATGGGACTCCAGCAGACCAGTCAAACTGGGGCATTCGGAAACCAGACATGGCGCACTTCGAGCCCCATCAGTGCCTTGCCCTGAGGATCCCGGAAGGAGTGTGGCAGTTATCCCCATGTCAAAAAAACATGGGCTTTATTTGCAAAATGAAGGCAGGTGGGTGAAGTCAGAGAATAACTCTTCACTTGGATTCTACCTTGACTGATGTTAACCCCCCTCGTTAGCAGTTATGGGTCTTAAAATCCAGAATTCAGAGTATTCAGATAGCTTCTCACATTATTTTTGTGTTCAATATCAATCAAGTCAGAGAACATTTCAGATTCTTCATTCTCTGATATGAACAGAAAAAAATCATTATAAATGATCTCAAAGATCCTATAACTTTCTGTGTCACTCTGGCTATTAACCTAGTGGGCAAAAGAAAAAAAAAAGTGGTTTACATAAAGAAATAAAAATAGAAATGTAAACAGCAAATTCCTTTCTGCCAACTACTATGCAGAATTTTTAATTTTTATCTTTGGCCTCAGGAAATATAATCTAGGCCAGTGTTTAGACAAACAGATACGATTCTCCATTACAAGCATATCATACAACTCATTTTAACTTAATCCTGAGCAACATACTTAGTTTACAGTGACAAAAAAAATATTTTAGAAATATGTCAGAAAATTCAAGTCAGTTGCAAACAATAGGAGAAATTTTTAAGGTACAATGTCGACAAGGATCACTGACAATAGGAAGGTGTTTATGATAATTACAACAGTTTCTAGATTCCAGTTGTATAAAAAAGGGGTCCATGTGGCCTGGAGGAGGCTTCAGAGAGATGAGACCTTGAGATCGTCAAGGATGAACAGAATTTTAGGAATTGGAGCAGAACACAATGAGCTCACTATAACTAAAGGCAGCAACTGAGAATGACTGAGGTTGGAGTGGAGGTCTCAGGGAGTGATGGGATCCATTCACAGAGAGCAAAAGACTCAAGAGTTGGCCTTGGTGACCTTGGTGCAGGGTCCCTCTTGTGCTCTGCAGACACCCACAGTGGAGTTGCACTTGTCCAGGTGTTAAGGGGAGTGTTTGTAATTTGAGTGATAGAACTAGGAACAGAAAAGGAAGGGAATAGTAGGAAAGAGAATCATCATTCTTGGTGACTGAACAGATACTGAGATGAAGGAGAAAAACTGAATGAAGGGATGGGCACCAATGTTTGAGATCTCCATAGTGTGAGTACCACCTCTTGGGGCAAACATGACAAAGTCTAATAAATAGCATGCCCAAGTTATCACCAGCATATAAGTATCTAAACAAACCAGGGAGTGGTTGTTTGGCATAGTAGTTAAGTCATCACTTGAAGCCGGCGCCGTGGCTCAATAGGCTAATCCTCTGCCTTGCGGCGCCAGCACACCGGGTTCTAGTCCCAGTCGGGGCACTGGATTCTGTCCCGGTTGCCCCTCTTCCAGGCCAGCTCTCTGCTGTGGCCAGGCAGTGCAGTGGAGGATGGCCCAAGTGCTTGGGCCCTGCACCCCATGGGAGACCAGGATAAGTACCTGGCTCCTGCTTTCAGATCAGTGCGGTGCGCCGGCCGTGGAGGCCATTGGAGGGTGAACCAACAGCAAAGGAAGACCTTTCTCTCTGTCTCTCTCTCTCTCTCTCACTGTCCACTCTGCCTGTCAAAAATAAAAAAAAAATAAAAAATAAAGTTATCACTTGGGAAGCCCACATGCCACACTGCAGTACCTGGTTTGAGCCCTGGCTGCTCTGCCTCCAATCTAGCTTCCTGCTAAGGCAGCAAGTGATAGCTCAAGTACTTGGGGTTTTGCCATTCATATGGGAAACTTGGATTGAGTTCTGGGGTCTTGGCTTTGGCTTGGCTCAGCCTGGCTGTTGCAGATGTTTGGGAATTAAATGAGGCAGATGATCTCTCTCCATCTTTATCTATCTATCTATCTACCTACCTACCTACCTACCTATCTCTACCTTTCAAATGAAAATAAACTAATAAATTTTATTTTAAGAAGAACAAAGCAGAAACACCTTATATCTGAATAGGACTTTAAATTTCCTATAACACATGACACTTCTTTGATCCTTCATGGCAACTTTCCGAGGTAGCAGAGCAGTTAAGACATTTCTATTTTACAGGTCAGAAAAGTGCTTGCCCAGATTGAGGTTTTAAGGAGGACTTCAAATTTTCTAAGTATTCCTTTTACATCTCTCACTGTCTCTATCCTGGGAATAAGTACTCTTTGGTCATTTTTTAAAGAATATTTTCAACCACACCCACAATAATAGGTGTTTTTAATAACTTAATAGAAAATTACACATTATTTTTAAGTTACAAAAACAAGATTTTTTTAATGTGATTTTGCTTTCATTAACTACATTAATGTTTCTGTTAAGTCTATCAGAAAGATGTGCAAAAGACAGACACCAAGGCACTTCCTCCACTCACAAATCCATTAACTCTTCTTCCTCTGGATCATTCGCTCGCTCTGTCTCTGGATCTTTACTTAGGAAAGTTGTTAGGGCAGGCGTAATAGTTACAATGCCAATTGGAATGTCCGCATCTCACATTGGAGTACTTGGGTTTAATACCCGGCTCCAAATCCTGATTCCCACTTCTTGCTAATGTGAACTCTGGAAAGCAGCATTGATGGCTTCTTGCCACTCATGCGGGAAACCTTGAGTTCCCAGCTCCCATCATTGGTCCCTGCCCAGCCCCAGCCATTACAGGCATCTGAGGAGGCAGCATTTGGGAACTGGAGTGCTCTTTCGTCCTCTCTCTCTCTGCCTCTCAAATAAATACTTTTATTTTTTTAAAAAGCAGAATTAAAATTTTGAGATAGTCTACTTGAAAGAGATATATTTTAACAATATAAAGTCCTAAAACAGGAATCCCCTAACTTTTTGAATGGAGGAACTTTTGTTCATTTCCTAAGATCTCAAGACAACAAAGGTGAGAAAAATTGGCTGTAAAATCTTTCATAGAGGCAGACAGGTTATCACTGCTGTACAAACTCTGTACATCAGATCCCAACCAAACTGTGAGTTCTTGGCGTGCAGAGCCTGCATCTTACTCTTATTGCTATCGCCGACACCATGTTGAGATCGGATGGGAATTCTTCAGCTCAAAGAAGTAGTAGCATATGTTTGTAAGCACTAGTAATGATGATTACCATGAATCAGGGATCAGCAGACTTTTCTTATACAGGACAGTAAATATTTCAGGTTTGGGGGGTGGCATGTGATCTGTGTCACACTGCCATCACAGCATGGAAGCAGCCATAGGTAATGCATAAATGAATAAGTGTGGTTGAGTTCCAAAAAACATTACTTAGAAAATATACAACCAGATTGGATCCAGGGGCTACTGTTTGCTGATCTCTGCTATAAATAATGAAATGATTTGCTGAAACAAAGGAGAAACTTCATTTTTTTTTTTTTTTTGTATTTGGTTTTAGATATTCACACTGTAAAGGAGCATCCAGGAAAAGGTAGGCTGGGAACAGGAAAGATTTTATTTTTCTTTGGAATAGTAAAACAGGAAGCAACTATGTGGCAATATCCATATCACTTCCTTGTCATGGAAGGCTTCCTTTTTCTCCTCTCTTTTCAGGACCAAGTCACAGTATTGTGCCCCTTGCCGTAGCACTGACACTGGTAGTGATTCTGGCCATCATCACACTGTCCTTCTACATATACAAGCAGAACAAGGGATTCTTCAGGAGACTTGCAGGGGTTGGGAACTCTTACTATCCTACAACCAACTTCAGTACCATACATTTGGAAGAAAATATTCTCATTTCTGATCTTGAGAAGAATGACTAATAAATAATGAAGCCAAAGAAGGCCACAGCCATGAGGATGAGTGGAGAAGACCCCAGGGAGTCTCCTCTGTGTTTGCACTTATACACCAGAGCATCTAAAGTGACCTGGTCACTATTTCACTATTTTAATTATTCTTACAGCGATCATTGGCTTTGAATTGTAACCAAATCAGACTGGTTTTGATTTATTCATTTCCCTAAACTGCAATGTATCCTTTAAAAAGAAACTATGTAATGGTTATTATTCAGAAGGATAAGAAGTATTAAAAGAAACTCTCTATGGAAAATTCTCACAGCAATGTAAATAATAATTTTTGCATTAATATTTTTCTACTAAAATTTCTTGGGAGTTACCTCTTCAGACATTTACTCATACTTATTCCATTAAGAGAGAAAGACAGGATAAGAAAAAATTTAATCATGTTTATTAGAGGAAAAAGAAAAGCTTCTGAGAGGTTTTGTTCGATTTTAGTTAAATCATTGTTAATAGCAAGGTTTGGAAAAAACTAACATCTAAGCTTAAAGGTCACAGGTTCTGGACTCTAACAAATATTTAAGGTGATATTTGTCTTGTTAGTTCTGAAAAAAATATTTTTGTTTAAATAGTAAAGGTTTAGGTTAGCAGAAGACTTTCAAAAGCAACCACCTCATTAAAACGTGGCCTGAAATTTCCTATAACTAAATCATGACCAAGTTGAGATTTTAAAATATAGATGAGCTTACAGGAATATATTGAGATTTTAGTACTATTAAAACACAGGGTATGCCGGCGCCGCGGCTCACTAGGCTAATCCTCCGCCTTGCGGCGCCGGCACACCAGGTTCTAGTCCCAGTTGGGGCACTGGATTCTTTCCCGGGTGCCCCTCTTCCAGGCCAGCTCTCTGCTGTGGCCAGGGAGTGCAGTGGAGGATGGCCCAAGTGCTTGGGCCCTGCACCCCATGGGAGACCAGGATAAGTACCTGGCTCCTGCCATCAGATCAGCACAGTGCACTGGCTGCAGTGCGCCGGCCGCGGCAGCCATTGGAGGGTGAACCAACAGCAAAAGGAAGACCTTTCTCTCTGTCTCTCTCTCTCACTGTCCACTCTGCCTGTCAAAAAAAAAAAAAAAAACACCAGGTATATTAAAAACTAAAGATACGCAATAATATATAATTCTATTAACAAGAAGTTATAAATATATAACTTGAATTCAGAGGGAAAAATTGAAGATCTGAATTATTATCTCATTAGAACTAGAGGACATATTGAGAATAAATTATCTTCCAGTAGTAATCTAAGTGCCTTTATCGTATTAGTAAGTTGATTTTAGGTGTTTTATTTAATAAACTATGATTTCTGGGAACCATATCCTCTCATACTGTACTAGTTAGTGCAGTTGGTAAACAACCATTAAAAGTATGATACTGGGGCTGGCACTGTGGCATATAGGCTAAGCCTCTGCCTGCGGTGCTGGCATCCCATATGGGGGCCGGTACATGTTCCATGTTCCAGCTGTTCCTCTTCCAATCTAGCTCTTTGCTAATGGCCTGGGAAAGCAGTGAAAAGTGGCCCAAGTACCTGGGCCCTTGCTCCCACGTGGGATACCCAGAAGAAGCTCCTGGCTCTGTGCTTCAGGTGGGCTAAGCTCCAGCCATTGAAGCCATCTGGGAAATGAGCCAGAGGATGGAGGACCTTTCTGTCTCTCCCTCTCTCTGTCTGTAACTTACCACTCTTATAAATAAATATTTTTTAAAAAAAAGTATGATATTTCCTGTAAATAAGAAATCTCAGATTTGCTCTTCCTTCATGAATATCCTGTAAAGGAAAATGGCTCCATAATCAATATTCAGAACTTTACTCATCACAGAAATGTTTATTGAGTTCAAACTATGTACAAGTTTATGAACTTGGGGTATTAGCGTGCCAGTGAGGTTTCTGTTCTCATTGTACTTATTTTCTGATGAGGGAAACTGACAGTGACCCAGTACAGAAATGCGTAGTCAAAAATAGCAGGTGGTTATGAAAATCAAGTAAAGTCTCACCGCAGAGAAACAGGAGGAGCCTCAGGGCCTCCCTGAGAGTATGTTAATTACAGCCTCAGCCTCCACACTGGTGGCCACTAGTCACAAGAGGGAGCTCCGGGAGAAAGTATGAATGAGCATGTAGGTGGCAAACCATCACTAACAGAAATACAGTTTTAAGAAAACACCCTAAGAATAGAGTCTTTGAGATGAAAAAAGTCCCTACAGCACCCAGAAGCAGGTCTTTACTACTGCTCTGTGGTTTATACACTGGGAGAATCTATTGCCATTTTTTAAAAAAATCTTAGAATTTCATTTTTTAAAAGGATACTATATTATGTGGCAATTAAATCATTATGACTCAAAAGAAGAACTGACTTGAACTAACCAGACATAGAAAAGCCCAATTTAGCAATCTGTTGGGTGAAATTAAAGTTCTGCTCTTTTCAGTGGACTTGGTAAAATCTGGTAACCAATTAGCCTTCTAGTCAAAGCACAAAGCCACACCTCACAGTTTAGCAAAGTGTATCATTAGGAAAGTGATTTTGCAGAAAGAAACTCTATTGCTTGTCAATGCTCTATACTTTGATAGTTAATACTGAACTGTATCTCCAGACAATCTCTCCTCATGAACAAATCTTGCACTTCTTCCATTACTGAAATTTCAGAAATAAAAGGTACAGACATACTTTGCTTTACTCATTGATGTGTACTTCGTAAAACTTTTTTCTACAACTATTTTTAATCTGAGTTGATTTCATAGCTACAACATAAAAAGAAGAAAAGTAGCAGAATCACAACCTTACCCATAATTAAAGTGCCTCCTCCCAAAACATCAGTTATTTTCTATGACTGACCTGAGTCTTTATAGACCCTGGGTATTACAAAATCTTGGATTTTTCCAATTAATGGTACCTTGTCTCTTCCAATGCCAATAATCTTCTTTCATGGTAAATATTTCTTCATTCAGTTTCACTCCCTATCCAGGGTAGATTGGTTTATCTCTCGGATAAACATTCACTCTTGGAGTTTCCTTTCCTTCCTCAAAATGGTTGGACATATGAGAGCCTGCTGTGTCCTTGTGGCATTGGGAGAGAAGTTCAAGGCTGCCTCTGGATGTGTGTGATGAGAACTCCCCTGAGAGCAGCTGTCTGGCCCCACTCCTGGGAATTCTGGTGGCAACCACTGTAAAGTCTGTGGGTGGTGTAACTTCCAGTCTGTTCTCTCTGATTAGGACCTATGTTGGCTCTCTCTGGTACTGCCTTGTCTCCTGAGAACTGGTCATGACTCCCACCCAATTCTATCCCTAAACTCTGCAGTTCTTGGTTACAAGGTCACTTAACCCCTGCAATTTTGAGACCCTATCTAGCACGGGAGGCAAAAGGTGTGTTTCTCACCCTTATCTACATGGGCTGGCAAAAGGATTTGTGCTTTATTCTACTATTCAAAAAGCCTTGAAGTTCTCCAATGAGTCTCCTACCCGTAGCAGAAGAAGTTAGCTTAAGATCTATCATTGATAAAGTAGGTGAGGTACTATGGTACTATGAAAAGTTTTGAATGGATTTCAAAAATACTTGCACTAAAATAAATTTATCTTTTAATTCCATTTTTCCACAAAGTTCTTGAAGCTCCTTGGTACATAGCTTCTATGGGCTACTGCAGTACATTTTCTAAGTAAACAGTCTTCAGATGGGGGACACGTCCCCTAGGGTGCATAAAGACTTCCAGAGAATACAGAGGAGTGAATGTGTTTTTAGGGAACTCAGTTTCTAGAGTCTCTAAGCTTCATGTATGTTCCTTCATAGAACTGACTCCTAAGAACATCCCTGTGATCAAGGTATCCTGCTGGCTCTTCTTTCTCACCTTTCTTTGCACAGTTGCCTTTCTCCACCTTAACAACAAATGAAATGACTTTTCACTCCACTCTTACTGTGATGCCTTGAGAAAATGTTCCATGGAACCAAAGAAAAATATTCAAAATATTTATTTCACTGAGGCTTCTTTTAATAAAGGAATCATAAATCATAAATGTAAAACTTCATGTCTTGCCGTGTGTTCAAGTATTTTTCTGTTAAGGATGTAGTGGTGAGGCAAAAATGAATTATTTTCCCCATATTCATATTCTGAATTAAGATGTATTATACACTGTGGGACAATAGGAGTGCTAACTACCTTTGAGTTCTTATCTCGTTCATGACTTTAATAGGTCAAAGAATATTTCTAGAGGGAAAATCTGGGGAAAGCAAGGTGAAGGCAGGGTAGATGGGGCTAAGAACTTGATGTCTTATGTTATCCAGGGGAAGTGTGCATGACAAAAGCTCTGTGCTTTATTTCTTTTAGCTTTCTAAGTGAGTTGTGAGGATGAATATTAATATGCTTATTTGAAACTGAAAAATGACATTAGATTTTTTTTCTGAACATTAGCTTACTTCACTTATTGATTTGGTATTAAAGCTTGGCTTTACAAATTAAGATTTATGATGAACTTTTTATTAACTGAATGGACTAAAGTGAAAGAGTTAACAGCATAATGAATACTTGTTTGCAAAATATTAGCAAAGCCTTTTCATTTTACTTCTAGGAAACTGACCAGATGAAATCCCTTTCATTACTAGGTAGCAATAGTTTTCCAAGTTCAGTGTTTCCTGTTCTTTGCTTTAAGCAAAACTAAAGAAGGGGTATATTCAAGTGGTGAGTTGATAGAATGAAGAAAAATAATTTTTAGCTTCTGCCTAACAAGTGAAGAGATGACCTACAAATGGGAAGAAGTATTTGCAAGTTATATATCTGAGAAGGGTTAACAGCCAAAATATATAAAGAACTCAAAAAGAATTCAATAGCAAAAAGAAATAAAATAATCCAATCGAATTTAAAAATGTGAAGTAGATCTAAACAGACATTTCTCAAAGGAAGACATACAAATACAGGTACATAAAAAAAATGCTCAACGTCACTAATCATTAAGGAAATGCTAGTCAAAACCACAATGAAATATCATCTCACTCCATTAAAGTTGGCTATCATCAAAAAGACAAAAGAGGGAACCTGCGCGTGTGAGTGAGGAAGGTCGGGTCTAGAGACTTTGGCTCTTTAATGCCCATAAAATGTCTTCACTTTCAGAATATGCCTTGGCCGTGCCTAGTCTGAGTATCTGGATATTTGGTAAAGTTGCCAGGCCCACTGATTCCAAATCCATGAAGGCGATGAAACTGTTCGGTGAACAGCCTTTGGCCCAGAGTAAGGAGGCTTATGACTGGTATCCCAATCTCAACATGTATTTTGAGCTCATGGGGATATTCCATTTTCATGGCCTCTAAAGAGATGAGCATCAGAATTTTAAGGAGGAGTTAATGTATCTAAAGAAGCTTCATAAAAAGGGGAAACCAAGGAAGGCAGAAGGAAAAAGAACAACAAAAAAGAAATAGTGCTGGCCTGTGGAGAGAGAAAACTTCTTCCTCAGTGACTGAGAGGGGAACGTGTACTTGTTGTCTTTGCACTTGTTGGAAGACAGTCCTCTTTCTCAGTGAAGCTTATTTGGAAGAACAGTCATCTCTATGTTGAAGTTGAATTCAGTTAAATTCTGACTGGCTTCTTAAACACACTCTAATTCTGCAAAATTATTCTGGTATTATTTTGCAATCTCATGTTTACCTAATTCTTTAATGAAATGGATACAGAAATTATTGTCTGATGACTTGTCTGAGGTGGGGATGGGACATTGGGGAGTAGGGGAGAGCCTCATTAAATGAGTGTCAGCATTTCCTCCTCCCTTTTCTCTTCTCCACTAGCTTAACCCTAAACTTCTTTCATCTCTGGCCATTCAGCCACTGTCTCCACCACCAAGCTCACAAACTTTCTGTGCTTGTCCACTTACTGCTTTGAGAATACCTAGTAAGATAAATCTGTGGAATTAAAGGCTACACCTGAAGAAGAAAAAAAAAAAAGACAAAAGATAACTGGTTTTGGCAAGGATTTGGAGAAAAGGGGACCTTTTCACAACAGCCAAGAAATGAAAACAACCTAAGTATCCATCAACTAACAAATGCATAAAGAAAAAGCTGTATATATTCACAATGGAATGTTATTCAGTCATCACAAATGATAAAGTTTTGTCATTCGCAGCAACCTGCAAGGAACTGAAGGTCATTATGTTAAATGAAATAAACCAAGCATGGCCGGCGCCGTGGCTCAACAGGCTAATCCTCTGCCTTGCAGCGCCAGCACACCGGGTTCTAGTCCCGGTCGGGACACCGGATTCTGTCCCGGTTGCCCCTCTTCCAGGCCAGCTCTCTGCTGTGGCCCAGGAGTGCAGTGGAGGATGGCCCAAGCCCTTGGGCCCTGCACCCCATGGGAGACCAGGAGAAGCACCTGGCTCCTGCCATCGGATCAGCGCGGTGCACCGGCCGTGGCGGCCATTGGAGGATGAACCAATGGCAAAAGGAAGACCTTTCTCTTTGTCTCTCTCTCTCTCTCACTGTCCACTCTGCCTGTCAAAAATTAAAAAAAAAGAAAAGAAAAGAAATACACCAAGCAGAGAAAGACAGGTACCACATGATCTCATTCATATGTGGGATCTGAAAAACTGATCTCACAGAAGTTAAAACAGTAATTACTAAAGGCTGAGAAGAGTGAAGAAAGAGAGATGGGGAAACCTTGATTAATGAGGACTAATACATAGTTAGAAGCAAGTTCTGGTATTCTGACACATAGTAGAGTGGTTCTAGATAACGATGATGTTCTGTATGTTTCTCTAGTAGAAGGGAGAAAGGATTCTGAATGCCTTTATTGTAAGAAAATATTTAATATTTGAGGAGATATATGTACTCTTATTAGACATTTTACAATATTTACATCAAAACATCACATGGTACACCATAGAAGTTTACAATTAGGGTGCCAGTTACTTTTTAAAAGTAATTTCCAATGAAGCATTACTGTAATTTTGGACACTTCTGAGAAGGGAATTAAAAAACAAAGTGAGGTGGAGGCCGGCACTATGGCGCAGTGGGCTAAAGCCCTGGTCTGAAGCTCCAGCATCCCATATGAGTTCTGGTTCTACTCTCGGCTGCTCCACTTCTGATCCAGCTCTCTGCTATGACCTGGGAAAGCAGTAGAAGATGGCCCAAGTCCTTGGGCCCCTGCACCCATGTAGGAGACCCAGAAGAAGCTCCTGGCTCCTGCCTTCGGAATGGCGTAGCTCCGGCCGTTGCAGTCATCTGGGGAGTGAGCTAATGGATGGAAGACCTCTCTCTCTATCTCTACCTCTCTCTGTAACTCTGTCTTTCAAATAAATAAAATAAATCTTTTAAAAAAAGTGAGGTTGCTACAACAATCCTTGTTTCATTCCTACCTACTTATTTTATAGGAATAAAGTTTCTATATTAGTCACGATAGGTTAGCATATGTACTGGAAACAAACAAAAATCCTGTAATTGCAGTGGGTAAAACAAGACTCAAAAGTTAATTTCCTTATGTATGTATATAATTTCTTTAAATATGTACATATAATTAATATATTTATATACTTTAAGAGGCAAAAGACAGAGAGTATATATTATATTTGTTCCCTTCTGCTGGTTCACTTCCCAAATGCCCACAACAGTCAGGGCTGGGCTGGAGCCAAAGCTAGGAGCCAGAAACTCACCCCAGGTCTCCCATGTGTGGTGACACTGACCTGATTACTTGAGCCATCACCATT